CTGCCCGAACAGAAGACTTATTGGGTAAGACCACAGCGCTTGCTTTTGATGTGTGCACAAGAAGGAAAAAAAAGGGTACATGATATCATTTAGGAACAACTAGGAAGTATTTAATAAAAAATCGTTTTTCTTCAAGATGTCTTTTAGATGTCTTTGTTGAGAAGATATCACAAATTGAAGGTGATCCATAAGAAATGCTCACATTCTTAAAAATAAGAAAAGTTTTAAATAAGTCTTCTACATGCCAGTGCTAAAATGAAAACTAGTATACGAACTTACTCTGTAGACTTATAATAAATAATAATCAAAAGTCTTCAATACATTACAGTGAATATAAGCAAATAAATAATCAGTAATTTTTAGACGAAACAATTGTGAACAAGATTTACATAAATCAAGTGGTTTATGTGAGACTATTTACCATTTAGTTAGTTTGGTTAGTTAGCTCACAAATCAGCGCATTGGCAACATTGTCAAAGTCGTTGAATCCAACAGTTAAACTTTCACAATTTGCATGTGCAACAAAAGTTTGCCCTGATTTCTCAGCAAGCTGATCAATCAACAACAGCAACAACAACGACGACGACATGGACAACAATTGTTAGGGTGTTGCATTGCATACTCAATGCAAAGTGCATCAAAAAAAGAAAGAAAAAAAATCGCTGTTTAGTTTTTCGCCATAAGCAACGCTCCCTGCATGCAGATAAAGACCGACCGACGGACCCACCAGACCCAATCGACGATCCCAGGCCGGGACCGAGTCCAAGACAAGCGAATCAAATCGAATTAATATGCAAGCTGCGTGCTTCTTTGCTTGGCTTCTGGTATCAGCGGGCATTCCTTGACGCATTGGCCGATATTTGAACTGCCGACGCTACCTCCTAAGTTTACTGGCGCTATCGCGATGCCAACTATGCAAAAAAAATAAATAAAAAAAATCCCAAAAATTTGCTGCCCTTTGACAGGGCCGGCCAAGATGGCGAAATATGTAAGTAACAGTATTCGTGTATCCTTCCTTGCAGGATGCCAAAATCGCGACAAAAACAATTTCATGCATTCAAATGCCAGAGCGCACAGCATGACAGCATCTATATGAGTCGCAAGAACTATTCCCGTAGGAGTGACGACTATTAAATACCCTCTTAATATTCAAAACTGCATTAAATTAATTTCCCGTGAAAGTTATTGGTGTTTTCGAGTTGCTCAGAGTTAAAACACTGACAGCTATTTCCCAAAGACAATATGCCCTTATCATAATTTATCATTATTATTATGATATGTTTTAAAAAATCTACAGATTTAAACTTTTACTCATTTTTGTCAAAAAACAAATGACGAAGCTGAAAAACCTTTAATTCACATACTATTTATGTTAATATATGTATATTTTCTGAATTAAAAGAGTCTCTTGCAATGAGTTACACATTTCGTTAACGGTAAGTGTAATACTTTCAGGCAGGGTATAACAAGTGTGTAAGCATTTATTTATTGCTGGCTGGCAGACGCATCCACCCTTTCCAAATGCCGTTCTAGTTGAGACCCTCGAAAAAAATGTTGTACAAAATAAAATGTCTCTTTGTTTTGCACTTTGCCCAAGCGAATCCAGCAAAACACATAAATCTAAGCATATGTGCATTAAATTGCTTCACCCTATCAACCCGCTCTCTAAAAATCTAAGAAATATTTTCGAGCTGTATACTATATGAGTATATTCAGAACGTGCTTTAATTGCCCCAACTACTACTGAAATGACTACTAGAAATTTCAATTGTTTTTCTATTGCCGTTTTCCTGACTTTGGGTTAATTTACACCTTCCTTTTGCTACTCGTCTGACTTTGCCCTCTGTCTGTCTGTTCGCCTGGTTTCTGCCAAAGCTGTCGACAAACTTAATGACCTGAAAACTGTTCGATAATGTGTGGGTGCTCTGCTTTGTGTGTGTGTGTGTGTGTGTGTGTGTGTGTGTGTGTGTGTAGTGTATAAGTTTGTGCACGCCTGCGGAAATTATCAACTCGCCGCACTTCACAAAAACCCCAAAACGAATGAAAGCTAATTTCCAGGAAGGCGATTAGAAATCGTGTAATTTAAGTGTGGCAGCAAAAACAAAAGGTTTCTGCTCTAAAAACGGTTGACAAAAAAGGGGCCAGCAATAAGAACAGACACCAAATATTTTTGGATTAAACTGGAGCTGTGAGCAATAGCTCGGATTGGACAAGGAAAATGTATATGGGCATTAATTCTATAGGGGCATGATAAGTTTTAAGTCTTTAGTGGTAAGTGCACAGATACAATCTCAAATTGAAAAGCAACTTAAGCCAGAAGATTTGTTTGTCCCTTTAGAGTTTGGTCAGATCTCGGATTCAAAAATGACAAGAAAAATTTTTGATGCTCTTCAGCTTTAAATTGATTCCTAGATATGATTCTCCTTAATATTCTGCACTTGTAGGATCTAATAAAGAGAGTTCCAAAAATATGGTATATTTACAGGTTTTTCTTCTTCAGATATATCATTTCATATTAAATTATATATGTATATTATTGTTATTATTATTTTTGTATATTTTACCTCTCTTATTTTGCACAAATGCACTCAAAATGATTTCTACCACCAAACCACTGCCGCCCGCTGCTGTCCTGCAATTTGGCAAAACCGAGTAAAAGCCACGTGACTAACATAAGCAAATACAGTTATAGCCAGAGCGATGGCCACAGCAAGTGCTCGAGAAATGTTTTGTTTGGCAAAAATCAAGATGTGTGTGCAGCACCAAGAAAAAAAAACCCCTAAAACTGGTTGATGGTTGTTGGTTTTTGCCGTTGCCCAGTTGAGGGATACAGAGTGGGAGAGAGCTTTGGCAACAACCATCGTTGTGGCTGTTACTCAAGCCCCAGTTTCGAATCGTATGTTTATCTTTGCCCTGGCCTTTGTCTAGCTGAAGTGGCGCTGGTATGCAATGGGTACAGATGTGACGGGGGTACAGGGTGCCGGGTGCCGGGTGCCGGGTGCGGGAGTTTTACATTTTCGATCCTTTGGCGCTGTTAGGGCTATAAATAAACGTTTAGTTGGTGCGGAAGCACAGCGACAGCGACAGCAACAGCAGTCTGTAATACAGGCTAAAATGGATGCGTTGTGGATGCGAGGGGTGTGGTGAGGGGATGGAGGTGGCTGGGGTACGCTTGTTTGTCTAGTGGCATCACGTGCTGTTGCGGGCTGCGGTCAACGTGTGTGGCTCCTCATTGCTGTTACCATTTTTGTACGCCTGTTAACTGTTAACTAAGTCGCCTCCCCCCGCACTAATAGCCACGTAATCGGCGCTCAATTAACACAGTTAACCCCTACGCTCCATTGCCAGTCCTTCGTTTCAGTTACTACATTGTGGCTTTTTATTTAACATGCATTTATTAGAAATTTATTAGCGCATTGCATATTTTTACAGCGCAAATTTTATGCAATTGCATAAAATTTTTACAGTGGCGCCACTCGATTTCATAACTTAAATAAAGGACTGGCGACCTGGACGAGTTCGGGCATGGATTCGAGGAGCAGGCTCTTTCATACTAACACTGATTGGCATTGGGTGCATTGGGTGCATTGGGGACCTGTTGACCATTTTCATTTCATTAAGTTTTCGACGCTCCCTTGTGAGTTTTGTCTTAGCACATTTTTTACTGCCTCATTTAAATTCTAATTTTATGACTGCGTTTATGTTTTTGTCGAAAGGCAAAGAAACACACACACACACAACACTCATACACACAGATTGCTGTATAAACTCTAGCCATCTATTTATATGTCTGTGCGGACTTTCCGCTATGCATATTCGAGTACATTCATAATTGTCAAAGACACAAGACAACTTAAGATTGTCGTTGAGATAGAGCTGTTCGTCTTTTCAATTCGATTGTTTGCCAAATGACAGAGTAATCATATCTTAAGTACCTGATCTTATATATTTACATAGGTAAACATTTGGCTTAATATTATTTTTAATTCGGTTATATTACACAAAACAATAAAACGAATCTGATTTCTAAATAACAAAGAAATGCAATTATCAAATAATTTGGAGTTCATTTTCCGATGCGAATCTTTTCTGTTTCGAATAGTTGCTATTAGATCATCAGGTATTCTTAGGTGATTTTTTGGTACATGTAAATACAAGATCCCTTAAGGGAGTTGAGAAAGCTTACATTTTGAATTCGAAATTGATACTTTGCTTATATATCCATATTGTCAACTCGATTCGTAATATTTACATATTACACCGGATCTATTATTTAACGGCAATCGAAATGCTTATTTACAGAAAACAGAATATGTAGAAAAACTCCGAGTTATGTTCCATAAGTTGTAACAATTTGAAAACAGTTTTGACCAACATTTTAAAGCATTTACTCAATCGCAGATTAACAGTAAATCTTATTCAGTGAGCTGGCATTCTTTTTGAGTCCATAGGCAGATGTGGCATTTGTTCGCATCAAAAATCAAGCCCATTTCCCCCTGCTCACCACATGTTGCCATAAATCTTCGATCCCCAGCTAAAACGATTTGCGCGGGTAAAAAGATTCGCCGCACATGTGAAAAACCGTATTCTGAAAATGGTGTTTTATTTTTTTTCTTTCTTGAAAAGAGGAAAATTATGAAAACAGAGAACGAAGAGAGCGACAGGCAGCATGAGAGCAGTGCCGAGCAAGCAGCAGAGGTCGACGTGGCAGAGACCGAAGCCAGACGATGGCAACGATGGCCAAAACGAGCGATGCTTTGTTGCAGTGGGGGTTGCCGGGGGAATCGCTTGAAGCGCAGCCAGTTGGAATTGCACGCGACAAAGGCGTTGCACGACTGACGAGGGCGAGAGGTGTGGGGCTGCAGGGGCAGCGGCGGCGGCTGCGATGACGACACAAAAAGCAGCAGAGACGACAACAACGACAACGACAACGACAATGACAACGACGACGACGCCGGCAGCAGCAGCTGTCTGCTGCTGCTGCTATTGCTGGCTGAGGGCTTCTGCTTCTGCTGTTGGCTGACTGCGAGCAGTCGTCAGTCAGTTGGCCAAGAAACTGGTAGCGTCGGTGTTGTGAGCCAACAAAAGGCTGGCAACTGGCAAACTGGCAGCTGGCAGCTGGGCAGCTGGCACAGTTACCGGCTACGGCTCTGGCACCGCCGTGCGAGAAATGTGTGTGTGAGTGCAAACCACCACAGAGCACGGGGCAGCCGTTGGATTGGCTTTGGCTTTGACTTTTGAGCGACGCGTAGCCAGCCAAGAAAAGTGGCCAACTGTCAGCAAGCCAGCCTGCCAGCCAAGTCAGCCAAGCCAGCCAGTTAGTGAGCCAACAACATCAATTGCTGGCCAAGTGAGGTGGTGATGGTAAAGGTCCAAGAAGATGATGATGACGACGCAGCAGCAAACCGTGCCAAACAGTGCAGGATGGTTGTCAAGGAATATATTTTTTTTGGCCGCAGACGCAGTTTGATTGGCCAAGTCAAACAGTGGTTTTGACCCTGGCCAAGATCGCCACAATGGACGCCAATTGACAGCTTGTACACACACACATACACACACAGATGCATACTTGCATAGACACAGTGGTGCAGCAGCAACAACAACAGCGTCATGCAGGATACGTTCGTCTCGATTATACAGCAAAACAACAACAACAACAAAATAAAACAATAAAAACGTGTCGCGCCGCAAAAACAACAACATACAAAATGCGCTGTGTTCTATATATGTATGTGTGTGTGTGTGTATGTGCGTGTGGCAACCTTTTGAACTGACCAACGTGCGCCGCCAACTTTTGGCCAGTGCCAAAACACGACGTGCGCCAATGGAGCAACTGGCGCAAAGCCCAGAAAAAACGCAGCAGCAGCCGCAGTTGCAACAACCATTGTTTCAACTGGCCGCTAATCATGTGTTGCACGCCAATGTCAGCGAACAAATTGGCTCAAAGCACACGCGTCCGAAACCTCAAAGGATGCGCATCAGGCATCAGGCGGCATCGGCATCGACATCAGCAACAGCAACCGCAGCAGCAGCAACACCACCAGCAGCAGCAGCTCTGAAAATCACGCATACGCAGCGTGCAATAAGAAAATTAAAATAATATACATAAACTCTAACCAAACTTCAAGTAGTGACTAGTGACTTCAAATACCACATTAAATATTAAAACAAAAAAAACTAAATTATATAATAAAAAAAATACAAAAAAATAAGTAGCAAACGTAGTGTTAAATACTTCTATGCCAATTATATAAACGATTTAAACAAACTATGATATAACCAACACCAATAATTACCGAATTACATAAACACTAGTGCAATCTATTAATAATTTTGCAATTTACATACAATTAGAAACAGTTAATGAACTTAATTGGTAACTGAAGACACTCGTAGACAATTTACGTTTAGTAAAACCCAAAACTGATGACATAAAATAAAATCAGCGCGAGTTTTGGGCATCGTTTCCAAAATATTCAATCGAAGTGGCAGCCCGACAAAAATCTGTGAGAGGATGCGTAGCGGCAACAGTAGCAGGAGGACATCTGAGCAGTTATTAGAGTGGACCAATGGTGAGTAGGATGAAGTGAATATAAATAAGGTTTCATATTATTGTTGGCTTAGTTCTGATCTTATAAAACTCATAAATATCTGTGCATGCACTTCGACAATTGACCACTTGTCATTATTGCAACATTATTTGCACAAGAGAACATCTTATTATTAAAGCAAATGCAGCATTTTACATATACATTCTATATATTTAAGCTCGCAATAAAGGTGGGGAGGAGAAGTTTCTTGCAAGTTTACATTTTTATTATTATTACTATTCAGATTTATCAGATTTCTCTTCTTTGTTTTTAATTAACTTTACTTCATTTTACTTCGTGTTCTTTTTTACCTGCAATTGCAAAGATAATATTCTATTATCTGTAAGAAATAAGCCCAACTCTTCAAGACCTTAGTGGACTACTAATTTTTTCTGACATCTGTCTTCACAAGCTGATCACTTCACTCCAATGCGTTCCACTTCCCTCCAAGACGCGTTGGCTTAGACAAAAAAACCAACAGCCTGGCGCCACATAAATAAAGCAAAATGCAGCACAAAATGACAACATGTTAAATGCGTCATGCGGCAGGCGGGGCGCAAGGCAGATGTAGGCGTTACAGTAACAGTTAAGACAGACAATTCATAGGCACTGCAAAAATGTTAAAGCATCCTCAACCACCTCAACCACAATGTCTACTTATGAGAAGTTCAGAGGGTTCACAATCCAGAGATTCCATCCTTGCCCAGTTTCACTTATCCAATCTGGTTGTGATTCAATTGGCAATAAATACCAATATTGTATTTGATGCGGAACAATAACAAGATTCCCAAACCGAATATGGAACCTGAAGAGATAATAATCGTAAACTTGAATATAATTGTTTTATGGTAAATTTTAAACAAAGCAAACATCTAAGGAAAATCAAATACCGACCAATTAATTTTAAAATACCAGAAAGTGCGCATGTTTTTGAATTTTAAATATCCTAATTTATGAGCGCGACTGCGAATTGCGTTCACTTACAATTATACTCGTACAAGTTTTATTATTTACCCTGTAAACATAAAAATCTATAAAAACGCGCAGATGCTGCGTGCACAACTATAATCATTGTTCTCAAATTTTAATGTACGAAATCATAATGTTTAATTGGATTTTAATGACTCAATTAAGGAGAGGCAAAATGATCTATTATTGCACAGATAAATAGACATATACGTAATATTCAATTACAGGGTATATTTAGACTAATGCGCTCGTATTTTGCTCTCTGCCTTGTACATAATATTTTCGGGCCATTAAAGCAATTAACAACAGCGAACTACACAACGGACTGCACTCAGTTAATTGGCTCAAAGGAGATGTTGGGCCCAAAAGTTACTCAAAACTAACACGGAATTTCATTGTTCGAGCGGTATGCAAATGCAGAAGGACAGCGGCAGGACGAGCTGTAGGGGGGTTGGGCGAAGGGGCTTTGGGCAACTCGCTCCTTAATGTTTGCACATTAATTTTAGAGTTTTTTTTTTCGCTCTTTTTGGTGATAGTCGAACATTTTTTGCAGTTGGCATTTGCTGAAAAGGAATTTGTTGACACCAACAATGTTTCGGACATCCTGGCAAATAATTCTTGGCCCCGTCCGCTGTTCTTAGCCGGAAATTGGCAACTAAGCCAAGCAGCGAGCGCATTGTGTCCTTTCCTCTTGAGTGCCTGCATATGTTCGCCGTGCAGTCTATGGCACAAGACAAACAAAGGTCCTGGTCAGCCCCGGCCAGAGTTCGCACTTCCTTTTTGCCAGTTCTTATCATTCACGCCAAACAAAAAATAGATGCTGGCTAAAACGATAGCCCGTTTTGCATTTGGGCACGTTTCAATGAACGGCCCAAAGATTTATGGCCCGCATTGATTTTATTGATGGTCCCCGGCTGCATTTTTTTAAAAATAAATCGAAGGCAACGCGCAACGACGAGCAATTAAAACTAATTGAATCGCTCCGAAAATGTCTCTGTGACGCAAAGAACATGCAATGTGACAAATAGTTGCGAATAAACGATTTAGCGACGACTGAGAAAACAAATACAAATAAAGTAAATGGCACAGGGTTAAGTTTAAAATAGTCGTCTATTTTATTGTGTTACTTATTTTGTAACTAGTTTGAGTTAGTTTGGACGAAGCAGAAGAGTGTCTTCAGATACATTTTCGCTAATGCAAATTTCAAGCATAATTAACAATTACGTAACACTTTTATTAATTATAAATGACACAATATTATTAATAAATAAACGGGAGTAATTAACAAAGTACTAAAAATAGTCTAATATAGGGTCATATTCTAAATAATTTTGATATTTGTAAAGCATTTTTGAGAAATTAGTTAGCCGACGTAAAAAGCACTAATATTATTTTGAATAATTGGGTATTTTAATTGTGCTCCTATTCAACTTGTCTAAATTTGTTGCAATTTAAATGCAAACTACTTTCATGAATACATTTCTAGAACAATTCCAACTGCGCAGCTGTATATGAATATATTAGTGATCCAACAATAAAGTCAACGATTCTTGATCTAATAACTACTTTTTAAAGTTTCGCATTTCAATTGAATGATATTCAATTGTCATAACCACTTCCTCGCCAGATTCCACAAACCTCCCCCAATACAAATCACGCTTCGCCTTCGAATGCCATTCGCATTTGTCGCTTGAAATTATGTTTTGGGTGCAAAAGTCAGTCGCCATAATTTTCATGGCGTAGACATGGCAAATAAAACAAACAAACAAATAAATCGCCAAATTATTATTTGGTCCTGCGACTCCTGGCAACTGCCTCCATCCATCCATCCATCCATCCAGCCAGCCAGCCAGCTGCAACTAGGAATGCTGCTCACCAATTTTTATGCGGCGCTTCAACAAAACTTTGTCTGCGCCGTTGTCCAGTCATAATGATTTACTTGATTTGCATATTTTTGCACTTATAAAAATGCACAAACGATTTTTCATTTTCTTGAAAACTTATTAGTGCGCCGCAGCGAGCCTTTGATGACCAAAAGGGAAGCCGACTATCCATATTTTTTTAAAAAATATTTTTTGTTTGCTGTTGCCCCGTAATGAGGCCTGGTTATTTATTTGTTATGCATGAGGCTTGAATATGTTTTTTTTTGGTGCTGTCCGGGCGTATACGTAATTTGTGCTGCCTGCGGCCACATTGCGTATACGCCCCGATGTCGCATTCGTCTAGCGTTTGTCTGCTCCGCAATTTGCAGCGCCTACAAGTCTGCTGCAGCAATTTTCTTGGTACAGCTCCAAGACATTTGACTTCCTGCCCGCATTTGGCACACATTACCAACATGATCTGGACGATAACAAAAACAACATCCAACATCAACAATAACAACAAAAGCAACAACGAAACATTAACATAGACGCAGCTGCGTCGATGACTGCGTCTGTCTGCCAACTTGGCACCAGCGACGCATCCTGTGTGTGTGTGTTCGTTTGTGTGGAATGCGAGAGGCTCGTGGCAAGTTGGCTGCTGGCCACTGATGGGCGGTAGGAGCCACTTGGCACTCTCATTATGATTTTAATTGATGACGCAGTTTTTTGACGAGTTGCCCAGTCTGACAACGTCATCAGTTGTTGCTGTTGCTGTTGTTGTTGTTTTTGTTGTTCTGCCTGATTGTTTATTGGCCAAAAGCACTTGGCTCGGGCAACAGGTTTCCGTTTCCAATTATCATTATTATGATTATAAGCATTTTCTATACACTCACACACACACACACAAATACATGAATACATATTTATGTAATGACGCCTTGATTGGCTCGACCTTGACCAAGAAAATCGTTGGCCGCATCGTCAACGACTTGTAAAATTTATTGGCCAATATTCAGGCAAATTTTTTGTTCATCATCACAGTTTTTGTGTTATTTTTTTTTGTTCTTGCTCTTGGCTTGCAAATGCTGCCAGTCGTTTTGGCAGCAGTTAATATTCAAGTTTTGTTGCCAATTTCCTCAGATCTATATTTGATTGTTGTTGTTCGCAATTTGATTATTTGTTTTGATTGACGTTCAGTTGCTCAGTTCTTGACGCGTCGTCGTCGGTGAAAGTTGCCGCTTCGCAATACTCTTTATTGTCCAACTGAAGCTTGCGGCTTATCTATTGGAAAGCTGACACATCTGCAGCCATTCAACCTGCCACTACAAACAACAGCAACGCATTTTAAGCGCTTCAGATACATATAAATAACATTTGCTTCTTCTACTTCTTGCCGCTTAATCGGATGTGAGACAAGCTTTTTCAAATTTTAAGTTATTATTAATGTGCTGAACGCCTTGATTTTTTCTTGTGTGTGCTTATTAGAAACAATCCCGAAATAAATTGCAATTTGTTTGATTCATCAGCGAGTTGGTTAAGAAAAGAAATAAAATTATATTATACCCTGAATTCATTAAAAATGTGTAAGAAGAGTATAATGGTTTTGTACAAAGGGAACATCTCGTCTATCCAACAATTAAAATGGAATTATCTCGCGTAGATCAATTTGATTAACTGCCCCCGTTTCACGATTATCGATACTTATCGATTTACGATAGAATAAAAAAGAAAGCAGTGCCTTCCAATTTATATACTGCTATACGACTATATATGTTGTCAATGTTTATTTGTAAATATTATAAGCAGTTCGCATTTGCGACAATCCATTAGTATTGTATTTCATATATTTGCTTTACTAAATCTGGTATAACTTAGATCAATGTGGTAGCTCGTACATATTTAATGAACCACTCTCGTGTATCAAAGTGACAGCTTCTGTCTTACTACATCGCATTGGCATCTTCAAGGTATACGTGCAAAATAAGAAAAATTCTAATTAAAACTAGAGAAACTAGCACTAATTACAATTTGTGCCGCCGCCCTAAAGACAGAGCACACAAATCCACGAGATAAAATACAATTTCGATGAAAACCCACAAAACAAAAATAAGAAAGAAAAACCAACTAACGAATAACTAACAAAATGATGAAGCACTGAAATAGATTAGGCGAAATATACGAAAACAGACGCCTGCATTTGCTCTAACTGTGCAAGCTGTATCTACATACACATGTATATAGATATAGATATATATCTGTATCTCAGTGTGTTTATGCCTGCTTTTCTATGTGCTCCACAAAAATAGACGCGACGGCGACGAGAGTCGCGCGTTTTCAACGCGTCTTTGCCCGCGTCAATTGCGCGTCATCGCCTCGGTTCAGCTCGCAGATCGGCGGACAGTATATAGAATATCGCATCAGCAGAAGTCGAAATACTATTTATATGTATACAATATATTGGGTATATGCATGCGAGCATGTACCACTTATGTGGTATATAAGGGCCTTCTGGCGACAGTTCTGCGCAATTTTTTGGTCTGTGCCTTTCGCTTGTCGATCTTCGGTCCCGTCAAGTGTGTCCGAAAATAGCAAGGTAAATAAAAAATCTACAAACAAACGAGAAAATCGAAAAATTACCCAAAAACAAAAACAACAAAAAAAGAACAAGAATATTGGGCGAAAAAAAAAATTGCTTTTAGCTGCCTAGCAAAATAAATAAAAGCAACATTTTCCCGATTTACAAACAGCGACGAAAACAACAAAAATATACAAAAGCGAAATTTGGTTAAGGCGTCAAAGGCTTTTTGCGTTGTCCGTGAATCGTTCTATATAGCACAGACCCCAAGAATGCGAAAGCTATATCCATATATACATAATAACTATGTGTATATAAATTTATATATATATATATATATATATGAGCAAAATTACTCATTAATTAATAATGTCTAGTCTTTATTATTCATATTAAATGATAGACACAGAAAATTATTTGGTATAATAAATGTTCACGAATTTTATGATAGGGGTTTGGTGGATTGTTTTGATTACATAATTTAGCAGCAAGCAACCACTAGAAAGGTTAATGAAAAACTAAGTAAGTTTTAGATGGCAAGTAATATGTTTAAAAAAAAGTAATGGCGAAAAAAAATGAAAAAAAATAGTGGAACATTTTTAACAATATTTATTTATTTATTTTAAGTGGACTAATAACAGTCAGCAGTCTTAAAAAGGTTTTAAATTTTTTAAATAAAAATTTAAAAATAAAGTTACGGATTGAATTTTATAGAATTACAAAGTAAAAACTAAATTAATAATTTAAAGTGAAAGAAACAAAATTTAATTGGCATTGAAATGTAAAATGTTGAACGATTTTTATTTTTTACTTATTGCATGGATTGGGTAAGCCAAAAAATAATCACGAATCAAACCAAACATTTTTATGCGTTATTAGCTTTGGAAAGAAAAACGTAAAGAATGCAGAAAGACTAGGCATAACTAAATTTTAAAAAATTAAAAGTTAAATGAGAAGCGAATTCAATTTCGCCATTAATTATCTTATGTAGAAAACTCTCTAAGCAGTGTTCTACGCTTAATCAATGATGACAGATCAATAAGAAGAAAAAGTCTGTCTGGTAAAGACTCTTTTAGAGAATAAGATACTAAAGTTGGTTGATTTTATTTTAGTTCGATCTACTTTTAAGTATCGCAAAAATCTGTTCATTCGCGCAGTCAAAGTACTTGGAACGATTGCCACGACTTGCATAATGCAAAACACATCTTGTCATATTTGACACTTTGCTATTTTTAGCAAAGCACTTTAAGGCAACTAATATAAGGCAGCCTTCTAGATTATACAATAATCTTCTAATCTTCTAGTATCTTCCGACTAAAGTCATAAATTGAGTGCTCAACAGCTGTTCAATTGGCAATTAATAGCAATTGTTGCCATTTTCGAGAGGAGTCCATAAATCACATCATAATTAACACGTGCAGCCTATATGAAGATGTAGTCATTGCTGTGCGGGGAAGGGGGCACCCCAAGGAGGGGTTGAGGAATTGCCTGGAATGGATAGATATCTTGTGGCCACAATTGGCAGCTGTTCAATAGCACAATTTTGGTGTGGGCCAATGGCAACAGCAGCCCTGACCTCAGTTAACTAACTCAGCAGCAAGATAGAGTCATTAAGAGTGTATGTGTTGTGTGTGTGTGTGTGTGTGTGTGTGTGTGAGGGGGCAAGATCGTCAGCCCAGTATTTGAGTATTTCCGTGCAGACAGTTTGTCTGCTCATCCAGAAACTTATTGGCAAAACTCCATGATCATAAATTATGCAGTCCAAATTTGTTTACGCGGCAGGTGGCGCTTTAATTACACTGTAGAAGAGGCATTTTGTGTGTATGTGTGTGTGTGTGTGTGTGTGTGTGTGTGTATGTGGGGAAATCCCAGGACGGCTGCCAAGATTCCTCAGCACGCAGCAGCATTACGCAACAACAGAACTTGAGAGCGGGAAAAGTTCATTGCCATTGAGATTCTTTGGAAGCGAGCGTGAGAAAATCTCTCGAAATTTTGGCAACCTACCATCTTGGCAAGCGCCCATTCCCATCCCCATTCCCATTCCCATCAATGCGTAGTGGCCCGAGCAAGTCCAACCCGCTCTCCTCACCAAAACCAACTTGGAGGGCTGGGCAGTCCAAAAGCCATGACGTATTTGCTGCAGCAAAAGTTCGCATGGGGCAAATTTATTGGATTTCTTGAAACAGAAACTGGAATTGATAGAAAAAACCATAATTTTTTCATGCTTATCAGTCATAAATGTGAACTGTTATCCTTCAAAATCAATGTCAACATTTTTTAAAAATAATAATGAAAAACACTGAAAAATTACGTTTTTATTATTATAGAAAATTACATTCCTTCTTAAGCTTATATTTACGACTTTAAAGTCTAATTTATGTAAGAATAGAAATTGCTTAGACTTAGTAATAAATTATTGACAAATAAAATTAGAGCTTGCCCAAATCTGGCCAAAGTTTGGCAACATTTTCCACTCTGATAAACCAACTTATTCACTTGCACTCGTTCCTTTTTTCTAAGTTACTCTCTCTATCTCTATCTCTCTTGCTCTCACTCTCATTCTCTCTGTCTCCAACTCTCTTTGCAGCGATGCGTTAAAGGAGCCTCGTTGGCCAATTGGCGGCCACGGTCGTTGCAGCTAGTCCTGGGTCTGACCAACCAATGGCAGCGCAGCAGCGGCTGAACTTCAACTTAGCAGCAGCGTAATGCACTTGGCAAACTACAAAGCACACACAAACACACACACACACACAAAAGTTTACATGCACAAAGTAACATACATATATATACATATATATATATATATACAACACACACATATACAAACAATTTGATTGCTGCGCTCACACGCGCATGAGAAAAACGTTGATAAATAAATCACGCATACGCCTGTTGGCACAGCAAAAACTATACGTTTGACAGTGTATGTTTACATATTTATATATATGTATATATATGTGTGTGTGTGTGTGTGTTGACTGGCTGTTTGCCAATTGCAATGCGCTGCGCTCGTTTTAGCCCGGCTCGAACGACAATTGCACGAACGAAGCCTCCTTTGCAGGCAGCGCATTGGTCTCCCCACCCTATGCAGGACGACCAATCAGAGCGACGCTCGTGCGCACCATCCTTGGCCAAACAGAAGCGATGCCAGAGCAACCAAGCTGATTACATTTTGTATATACCACAAAGAATATTTTATTTTATATTTATGTTTGATTTTAGTTCAGTTCTTAAGTCTTAATAATTATATTATTATAAGTCACATGCCCAAAGCCCAAAGCGACCACAAAAACAACAACTACAGAAGTGGACGTGAATTACTTAATATTATATATGATAAACTGCTATATATATATAGAGATTAACACATGATAGTTTCAAAAAGGATGATTGCAAAATGCGTAAGAAAAAAGAATAAAAAGAACTGTAAAGCTTCCGAGCGGCACGCAAAAAAAATAGTGTTTTGTATTTGATTTTATTTTAATTTGGAATGGATCCATATAATAAAAGGCACTGTAGTTCATCATCAACTTAAAAGTGAAATGAATAATAAATATATATATTAGCGGGTATATTTATATATATATTATCCAACTATCTTTTTTAAATATTATTAAATGCCTGTCTACTGGTCGTCACCTAAGCTGAATGGGGATTGGGAATGTTGATAAAAGGCATTTTTCGGATTTTCACTACGCCATTTCAGATGTTTTGCAATGAGAAATCCTTGTGTTAGGAATACAACAAAATTCGCGGCCAGGAGGCTGTAGTTTTTAGGAATAATAACAACGGAGTATCGGGACCAAATTAAACCGGTTGCGGCCAGGACCCCCGACTGATTGAGGGACACATTTTGAGGAGGTCGTTTCACGATATCGCCAATGCCAGCCAAAACCAAGAGCTGAATTGAAGATCATATCCGTATATCAGAAAATATATATTAAAATGCTGTGGAGCAGTACTCACCCATTTGCCCAATGGCCCCCAAAAGAAAACAGTCTTTGGACCTAAAATGCAAATGCAAATCTCAGATTTCATTTATTTAACTTATTTAATTAATTATTAAATTCACACACCTGCCGGTGATTCCCATAATGGGCGTACAGCTTGTGGCACTACTTTGTCAACGGAATTGATTACGGCATTATACAGTTTAGAGAGAGGTCCTGTTCCCTTCGACATGATCCCAGTATTTTGAATTTTGTTTCTTTTTTACTCTTTCTGAATTAGGAATTATTCGAACTATCGTACTCTAACCAAAATCAAATACAAAGTAAAGCAAATGAAGCACATATTTTGAATACTTTGATATACTTACTTCGATTGCTGCTCAACTAGAATTTTGGAATTGTCATATCCGTAAATGAATTATTTTTGCTGCAAATTCAAATTTGAAACGCAAATATGAGCAGAGCAGTGCGCGCAATTAAGTGCGCGAGCGAGCGAAATGAGTGAGCGGTGAACAATATGTTGCACCCATTGGTCACATTGATTGCAAAACAGATGTTTTGTGTACGCTACCTGTGAATGGCTAGACGCTATTGCAGATTGTTAATGTAAGTAGATTGTAGTTGCTTTGCATATCTTCCCATATTTGAAGTTTTCACCAACTAAATTCATTATTTCATCTACACAGGATAACTGTACAAGTGTGACTTTGGAGTTATTTTGATAAGATTTGAGCGCACAAAATGCAACCAAACAATAAAAAATTGAAGCGTTTGCCAATTAATTTGCGTCGCAAAGCAATCAGAGAAGCGCGCAATTTGGCAGGAGTGCGGCCTGCTGCAAATAGAGCTGTTAAGCCAAAACTAAGGTCACGACATAAACAGAACGACTTTGACCGTGCCGAACACAATGCAATGCTGGCGGCAACAGCGCATGAACTCCAACAGATTCTGGAGGATTGCGAGGAGTTGGCAGATTTACCTTACGATGCTACGCCGGCTGAGCTGTTGGGTGAGGTAAGCATGGCAGCATGGAATGAAGCACTCTCTTTTGGTGGGGTGTGACGTCACAGATCATTGAACTCAATTAGCATACGTTCGTTGCTTTCGTCACAACGCTTTTTTGGCTGACCCACTGCGGAAGAAGCTGCTAATTGACGACTGTTATGACAGCTTTATGGCTGTTACAGCTAAATGTTATAGTTATCTGCAGATCGGGCTTTCTCAATACATACACATATGAATATTTCATAATTACAGATTGCCTTAGCAGAGGGACATTCCACCACGATCCACGTGCAGCGCGACGGGCTCAGCACGCTAAAAATTGTGGTGAGTATTAGCATTCAATTGACTGACCCAAATATTCCAGCTGCATGCGCAGCTGTTTGCACTTGATCACCATTCAATCAACGTAGTCCATGTGTGCGTGTGTGTGTGTGTGTGAGAGTAGCAATCTATCAATTTGATTAAATTGCTGGTGAAATTTCCACTGTCAATGTAAACACTTTATTTATGGCTGTGCAAAAGGGTAGCGCCAATGACGTCACGCTCAAATAAAATTGAATATATCCTTCGCTTTTTGATTGTTCAATTTCAATTAATTGATTTTGACTAATATCTATTGATATCGATATCGAGTTATTTTCACAATACAAAGGAAGTATTTATCTTATTCGAATTGAATTCTTTTAATTAATATAGACTGTTTATTTTTCTGATTCCCATTGCTTTAGGTATTCAAGAGAGGAATATGAAAATGAATAGGAAAGAATATAATTTTCCAATATAGCGCATAATATTATAATGTAATAAGTTAATACATTTTAATTAACAGTAAACATGACTTAAGAACGCTTTGAGAAGCTATTTTAAATTGCTGAATTGTGTTTTTTTTTCTTCACTTAATGTTTTAATTAAAAGAGTTGTAGTTCATTATTTAGAATGAAGCAAAAGATATAAATGCTGATGCTTCAGCAGAATTGCAATAATCAGATTTCATGGTCAAGTGGTCCTTAATTATGGGGGAAAATGCTGTACTCTTTTTAAATATCTCAATGCGAAGAATGCTAAAAACTCTAATTTGCAAAAAAAAAAGACAAAAAAAAGCAATTGTTCTCCATGCATTTCTCACAATCTGCACTCTCATCGAATTTCAGCTCCATCAGCGCACTCCGACGATTGCCCAACTGAAAAAAGCGATCGCCTCAGTTTCGCTCGCTCAGCAGAAACGAAGGCAGCGCGAGCAACGTCGTGCGGCGCACGAAGACGCCGCTGGCCGAGCCGACGAAGACGGAGACGAAAACGAACAACAACTGGTTGTGACGGGACTAGCTGGAGATGGAGCGGCGATGGTGTGCTCCAGTGGCGAGTTAGTTAACTCTGCGCTGCGGAACGGGCACGAACATCGCACGCTTGTCTCTTGGCGCTTTCTATGGCGCTGCTTTGCACTGTTCAACGTGGATACAAATCAGCCGATCGATGACCACGCTGTCAACGGACGCGCAACTCTAACGGCGCTGGGCATTGAGAACGGCACCATTCTTAAGTTTGTGCATCGCGTCAAATATTTTGGTCGCCGGCGACAAAGCTAAAAAGAAACAAAAACAGCAAAAGTTTTCAAATCATCAAATGAACAGTAATGGATCATAATGTGCAACTATTTGGCATTTTGCTGCTCTACGCCTTGATGCGTCTCTTGGCCGCTGCTGCCTTTGAGGATGGCAACAATAACAATGTGAAGATCACGCAACATAGCCTGCAACTCACGCAAACGATAAACTTGCAGCGCCAGGAATTTATGCAGCGGCAATGTGATCTTATCGGCGCCGACATGGAAACTATCGAGGATCTAACCGAGCTGCAAATGGATCACATGATTGTGGACAAAGAGCACAAGCTGCTCTATTGCTATGTGCCCAAGGTACCCCTTTAAGCATTGCTACGGAATTATTTGAATGCGTCAGCTTTTTCGGCATTCAGTATTTTGTTTTGATATTCTATTCTGACTTGTGTTCGCCATGTGTGGCTTTAGCTCCCTTCCGGCTGTTGAGCGTGTGGCGTGTTTCAGCCGACCCTTCGTCAACTGCCTCGCATCTGCAGAAGCATAAGCAGAATCAGTAAAAAAAAACTAGTTTTATTTTGGTTGCTCCACGTTTTCTCTTTTACTGGCCTGCTGACACTCGATGCTCTCCTCCCATTGACTCAGACCGGCCCCCTAACGCCGCTGTTTGCCTGTCTATTGTTAATTCTTGCCACATGTGGAATGATTATTGATCAATCGATTTGTTGTTTACTCGAAGCGCTTTCACCAGACGAGTTTGACAAGACAACTGATCAATGTAGTACAAGCTGATTGCTAATCTTGAGGCTTGTAACACTGATTTGCTGGTTTTATCAATGGTTTGATTGTTCGCGATTCAGCTCCATGTCTGTTATAACGGTCAGTAATTATAAAGCACTCGCATAGACACATAGACACATAGACTGCATAACCTTCACTAAACCCCTATATACTCCAAGCAATTATCAAATATAATGCTTTGCTAGTGCAATATTCACTTATATACCCTGTATAGTCCGATCGACGAAGAGTTTGACTGTTTATGTCTCAAATATGACGGTTAACAATTTCTTTGTATATTAAATCTAATCTCTTGAATCGAATTGATTCTTAATTAAACTTGAAATATAATTTCAATCTAGTCTTTACCTAAACAGGGTATACAGCGTTGTCTTGTTAAGTATACCCTCAGTTTTAATATGCAAACTTTAGTAGTTCTAGTACAGCGTCTAACAATTAAGTGTTATTATTATCAGGCTGCTTTGGCTTGTTGTTGAGCTGTCGTGAGAGTTATGAGCAACGCAATAAGCTAAGATTAACAAATATTCGAATACACTTATCAAAATTGGTGCCAATTAATTGACATCCATTTGGGGGGTTATCAAAGTTTGTGTCTCTCAGCAGATCTATTAATTAACTTTGAATTCAAATTGGGTCTTCTTTCGATAAGAGTCACAATAATAATTTAGCAGCTTATTTAAAGGAAATTAATAAAAGAGCAGAGCACTTCAAGTAAGCATTTCCCCTATACGCCGCTGCTATCAAAACCCAAACTTATTTCGCACAGAATTAGACGAACCATTTGATTAGATTAATTAGCGCACAGCTCAAAAGCTCACCTGTTGAATGTGCGGTGTATATATATATATAAATAGCTTCGTGTTTCATGTATCCGCCGCACTTTGAACCATCGCACAACATAATGAGCGAACGACTCACCTGAGTTTGGGTGACTCGGATTGCGGTCGACTTAAGTTGAGTAATAATATCAATTGGCACTGGCAGTGTCAATAGTGAATTCCTCTTGCCAATGGCGCGATAAATTTGAAGATTACTCTTTACTTTAATCTGTGTATTTTAGAATAGTTGTTTGATTTTGTTTCGAGATCTTATTTAGAAATCTTTGTGTGACTAGGCGGAATAAAAAAAACGTTAAAAAACGAGAAATTAAGATTATTTTAAATATATTTTCAATACTAAGATATATCTTTGAAACTTCTTGCAATAAATGTTGAACAGTTTTACTTTATTTATTTTTCCATTATTTTAGAAACGCAATTTAATTTCTCTGCTTTCATTTTATATAACTTAATTCGTAACTTTAGTTTTACATTTTTATTTGAAAAGCGAGATTGCTTTCTTTTTTTTCTTAAATATCCTAGATTACAGAAAAACATTAGGAAACTTTTCCAAATAATTATACTTTGATACCGAAGGTATCATAGTATATTGGTTTTGCGTAATGTCTATCTGTCTGTCCGTCTGTATGAACGCAACTTTTTTCGACATCCATAGCGATAGAGATTTGAAACTTGGAACACATACTGGTCTGCGTCCGCGTCAGAAAAAGTGCATAAATTGGAGTGCTACGTCCACTAGGGGCTAGGAAATCGATTAAATCGATATTTGCAAATCGATAAAGCCAAATGTCTCCCACAATTTTATGGCTACAGTCACAAAATTTGGTTGGTAAATTGTTGGCGATGTCCTTCAAAGATCGGCATATGCCACGCCCACCTCCGCCACCCCCACGCCCCTCGCCCCTACAAATTTTAAATAGCTATATCTTCCTCAGTTTTTGAGTTAGATCCGTCAAATTAGGTAGGTGTATTACTGTTAGCCGCCTTTATGAACCGATAAGATATATCTACCACAATTTTAAAGATAGAGTGACCAAACTTGACAAGGATTGTCATATATTTTCAGACCACGCCCACACACGCCGCCCTCTGTATCGCGGCCATAGAAATCTGAAATGCGCATATCTTCCACAATTAGAAAGTTAGAGTCACCAAATTTTGAAAGTATGTTTCTGGGCACTCCTCGAAGAAATCGATAAAAATGGTTGGTCACGCCCACTCCTCCTCCCTAAACCGATACACCTGTTAGCGTAAATCGATAAGACCATATTTCTCACACAATTTGAAAGCTAGCTAGTCACCAAATCTGAAAGGTATATTGCTAGTAGCAGCCTTCCAAAATCCGGGGAACACATTTTGGACCACGCCCACTCCCGCACCTAAAAACAATAAAAGCCTATATCTCCCGCAATTTAAGAACTACAGTTACCAAACTTCGAAGAAACGTTACCAGCTTATATCTACCGCAATTTGAAAGGCAAGCTTGGACTGCACTTCTTGGCTACATCCACCCTGTTATCTGTTACTTGTTGTCCGCTGGAATTACTTATGTTATCAAAGTATTTCGCAGTCGGTTACACCCGACCGCAAGGTTCTCTCTTGATTTTGTTAGATCGCTTCCAAATCAGTTAATTGCTAAATGCTTCGATTAGTTATCAAGTGGGAATATTTGAGAGACTACCTCATGTTCCAATCTCATTGATAATTGCCGATCGATTCGTTTGCCGCGCTGTATGTGCGTATCTAGTTGAATGACACGCTGGTGCACGTTTCGCTTATCAGCTGTTATCAGCAAGCGACGAACGGAGGTGTTGCCTGATGTATAAGCTTGGCTTCAAGCGCAGTGCGCAGAGAGCGGAGAACGTTTTTAACCAACGTAAGTTCAACTTTGCGATACATAAATTAACATGTATATTCGTTGGCTAGCCTGCTTCCATGAAGTCGTAATTGTGTGTCTAACCTGCCCCGCCGTCCACTTTTCACTTAGTTTTTTATGCGACCACCGCGTGTTGTGCTTAATGTGAGGTTTATAGCCGAAAGAAATTGTTAAACTTTTTATTTTATGATCTCGCTTACGTATTGCAAATAATGTTTAAATATATGTGAGTACGCAGTGTGTGCGAATAACGTTGAACCTGAACCTTTGCCACGATTTACTTGCCGGCGTGCACAGTGGAACAAGGCCAATTGATAAGCATAATGTTGCCAATTGAAGGCATAATGTTTACAGTGTGATGCAAAGTGCAAAAAGTTTTTTTTTTTTGCTTAGACGTACTTAAAAAATGTCACTTTCATCTGACAAGTTGACAACGCGCTCTCTTCGGCTGAGTGATTGACTGATATTGGCACCACTGTGCGCAACTACCACTTGGCACACACCGAGTTTTTCCTGTGTACGAGAAATTGTTTATTTTTGTGATTTGAAATGTTGTTGTAGCGTTTAATTACACTCGACATTGTCGGCCCGACTGCCGAAGCGAATTGTCTATATATATATATATATTTAGCCGATTTTCTGCGCTGGATGTTGTTGCCTGTATTGTAATTATACATCTTGGCGTAAATGAATAGTTTGTGTAATTACGATTGGCAATTAACTGAATTGCATTTTAAGTAAAGTATCTCATTTAACAAGGTCACCCCGTGGCAATTTTAATGTATACATTTGCACAATTATTGCATATCTTTCTATAACCATATTACATATTTTGATCATTTACTTTCTATAATTTAAACAAAGCTCGTATTGTCAGGTCGTTTGAAATTCCCTTTAAAAATATTTGGTAACCGAATCTTCGTATCTTTACTGAGGTATGTGACAAATGGCATGTACACATGTGACAAAAGCGACACAAATAGAACGGGTTTTTTAAATGACTACGTTGAATAAGTTCCAGCTCAGAATGCTTACTTGCAACTGTTGTGCTTTAGAATGCTTACTTTCAACCCATTTAAAAACAGATATCTTTTGGTTGCATTGACAATTTACACTCAAATATACATCAAAGACGCAGAATTGTCAGAATTCGGAATCCCAGGAAGTGTGCTTATCACTAATTGGATACCCAACGAATCGCAATTGGATAGATACGAAAATTGTGAATCACAACCAGTCAGCATTTAGTGTGTCGTCTTCTTCTTATTCAGGGGTAAACATATTTCAAAAGAAAACCACAAAACACATTTAGTGGCCTCATTTCAATACAAATCAAAATCATTGTTTATTTAGTTGAAATGGAATTTCGTTCAGAATACAAATTGTTTTATATCCTCCCGTGTAGGTGGCGTGCACGAACTGGAAGCGGGTGTTGATGCTGTTAACGGGCAAGTGGCAGAATGGCACGGATCCGCTACAGATACCTGGATCGCTGGCGCACTCGTCGGGCATGTTCAGCAAATTGTACGATCTCAGCGAGGAGGAGCGCGCCCAAGTTCTTGGCGACGACTACACACGCTTCATATTGGTGCGGCATCCGTTCGAGCGACTGCTCTCCGCGTATCGTAACAAGCTGGAGGGTGGTTCGACGAGTGCGCGATACTTTCAGTCTCGTGTGGGTCGGCAGATTGTGCGGGAACTACGCCCGGGCGCCAGCAACGAATCCCTCGACCAGGGCAACGATGTACAGTTTGGCGAGTTTGTGCAGTATCTGCTGACGCCGGAGCTGAGTCGCAGCAATCAGACGGACTACAACGAGCACTGGGAGGTCATCGCCAAGCTGTGCAATCCCTGTATCATGAAGTACAACGTTGTGGGTAAGTGCGGGACTTTGGTTTCTTTCCTTTCTAATGAGTCTCAAATCTGTAATCTGTAATCCCTTGCAGGCAAATACGACACTTTACTGGATGATTCCGCATTGGCGCTGTATCTGGCGGGTGCCAAGAATTTGACATTCCCCACGGGCCACAAGCCGTCAAGCACGCGTGCCAATCTGCGTAATTATTTTGATCCGCTGCCCATTGGCGCCATACGGCGCCTGTATGAGATCTATGAGGAGGACTTTCGCCTGTTTGACTACGGCATGGATGATGTTTTAGGCTTTGAGTTCGGCTAATTACACATTCAGTGTTATAATATGTAAATGCTCAGATACTTTCAAATCATTTGCACTGTGAACATGACGCTTTCCACTGGAAAACTTTGTGATTTTAAACTAAGTTTAATTGTAATCGTTTTTAGTTATTATGTTGCACTTAATTCAGCGGCATGCGAATATTAGTTTCTTTTTTTATTTAGTTTTATTATTTTTGTCATTATATATATCTAGATGCTTAACTTACATTATAAAAAGATCTTATTCTTAGAATATCTTATATTTAAAGATTCGCTCGATTTCTTCTTTTCTGATCTGACGATCACCCAGTCCATCAAAGCAGCAGTTGCCATTCCAAGATCCTTCGAAACATTAAGAACTGAAAGCAGTAGCCCGCATTCCTCATATGTTTTTAATGTGTTTCACTTGCAAAAAGCGTCGAATGTAATCTTGACATAATAAGAGTTCCACTCCTTGTTCAACTTACACGACAGGGTTTGAGCCTTTCCCCTTTTCATCTATTGCATCTATAAGCTTCCCATCGAGGCTCCTCATTAAGCTCCCATAAACTTTAGCCTTTTGAATGTTTTTGTTCGACATACCGTTTACTAAATGTGGTGTTCAAAAGAAACGAGTTTTGCTTTTGAATACTTGTCGATAGGTAGCTATCGCCTACCGCCACCAAAGAGGGAATTTCACAGAGCCAAATGGCAAATATAAGCAAACAGGTTGGCAGAGTTAACGAGACCACAATTTAGGTTACCGCAGTTTCCACAAGGTGGCGCTAAATAGGTTAGGGAGAGTTTTGCTTATGAAAAAAAAATAAAAATAAAAGAAGTTGGGCAGGTCAGGTTCTTTGACAGGGGGGTCAAATTTTTGTGTGCTGTACGACGAACAATTTAAATATATATGAAAGTACACGAACTAAAAATATGTTCGTTCGTTTGATTTTTTCTTTTTGTGTGTTTTTTTTTTTGATTTGGCAAGAATTTAAATTCAAAATTAATTAATAAGTTTTGTTATTCATTATCTATTATAAGCAATGCATGTTAATTAAGTTATAAATAATTAATTATGAATAGCTCAAAAATAAACATACTGCTTACAAATGTGCATATGTTCCATTTTATATGTATAATTGTTTAAATCTAAAGTTCTTTCAAAATAAACATTGTTATTTAGAATAGACAGGATTGATTGTTTATTAATTGTTTTATTTTGTAATCTGTATTTTTTTTAAACGTAATCAAAATATGTTTATAGTTCTATTACGGACAGTTGTCATTTTAAACCAAAGCACAGTTGGCAAGTATTTGTTTACATTTGTTTACACCAAGCGATGCGATATTTTTCCCGGGTTGGATGCAAATGCAATAATATAACCCGTATATTTTTACTTGGCATCAATGAACCCACCTTCTTATCGGCTCCGGCTTCGGCTTACGTACATAAAATACGTTTCAGCGAGTCTTTTTGTAGACACATTCCACGATCATTGACAGGAGATACGATTACAGAAATTGCAAATGACGAGCGGTCAGCTTTCGAATTCGAAGACAATTCAACTGGAATACGTTTGCTGTCGTTTTAAGTGCGCTAGTATATCATATACATATAACCAGTACATTGTTAATTATAAAACTGTTTGACTATGTTTTAATAATTATTGACTTGACTATTACAATTTTTCATGTTGCAAACACTTTGACAAAGTGCGCATACCAGCGACAAATCTATAGGAAAACAAGCGAGAACATTGTAGTTGGGCGTAACCGAGTCCGAAATATTCCGTTACCAATAAGTAATACCATATGATAACATATATATGTTTGAAGTCTCTATCTCTAACGGTGTCTAAAATAGTTGTGTTCATACAGGCGGACAGACAGCATGACAGCATTGCACAAAGCCAATATACTCTGAATACCTTCAGAATCAGAGTATAAAAGCTCAATTCGCTGGCAACGGCGTCTGAATTGTTTATCACCAATACAAGCAGACAGCAAGCACATGCATATACATGTGTGTGTGTGTCTGCGGACAGATGATCAACGTTCAACTGAATTTAAATACGCAATTTTGTCAATAACACAGATAGATCAGGCGCCGTCCGCAAACGCATTCTGCTCGACCATCAACCCGTGGCAATAATTTGGCAAACGTATCCAACATTTATTATCGGCTGTGATATCTCTTCATAAGCAACAACAATAACAATCACGGCACCTGTAAAGCCCCCGCAAAATATTCCAAGGTCAAAACACAATTTACAAAAACAAAAAAATGACGGTTATTTTTGGCTTGGTTAACCAATGACTTTGACTCTTTTATTCAACAATAACTTAAAGTTAAGCATTGACAAGACATTCGAATTCAACAAATTATTGTGTGTTTTTTGCTGTGTTGGGTTTTAGTATGTGTGTATACATTTGGCTTTTTTTGTTTTGGTTTTTTTCGAACAGTATTAAAAAAACAAAAGCTTTGCATGTATCATATTCTCTTTCTGATTCAGTCCTTCATTTTTATGTTTCCACTTTAATCGTTGTAACTGTATCGCTGCTTCACGCTTCGATACTTTTTGAGCGAGTACAACGCCTCCACCTCCTTGGCCAAGTATCGTCCCTGCGCCAGGAGGGCGACGATCTTTTTGGGATCACGCTCATCCTTGTTCTTTATGAACGCATCGTGGACTTGTTTACGGAACTTTTGCGGCCCATTCAGGCCAGGGTAGTCGCGGCCCAGAAATTGTAACTGCAATGGGGGAATTTACGCAACTTTAGATTCACCTTCTTCACTTCACCCTCCATAAACAACTTTCGGCTGCAACGCATTTGCACGTGCTCAATTGCAATTGAGTATTTACTTACGTGCTTATAGAGAGTGATAACTTTGGAGCGCAGCTCTGACATCACCAGTAATCAAGGCTATTTTTTGACAGTTAAATGCAAAATATAAATTAAATCTGTATTTTGTTTTATACCACCCGTAGCTCAGATGACCAATGCCGATAGTTGAGGAGGTGTGACCGCTTATAAAATGTAGAAAGCACCGAGTACCTGTGTGGACTATCGATAGTCTGTACGATATATATAGATGGTCATGTCGCATTTTCGAAGCTTATGTACTTTTAGGCCATTAAATAATATTTGCAATTATCTTTATTCATAATGTTAAAATTAAAATAAATTGAATGTTATCGACATTTATATCGTAGCAAAGCGATAGTTCGATCATTTTGCCTCGTCAATCGCCGTCAGTTGGCAGCACTCGTATCAATGCTCGTGTCTGCCGGCCGGAATTTATCAATTGCTTTTCGGTAAGTGTGCATAGAATTTTCAAATTACCTTTTACATATTTTCAAATGCGCATTTCTTGCATTCTCAAGTTATCGCAGCTTAGCAACTACCTGCGCCCGAATGGCAAGCGAGGTGGATAAGGCGCAAAGCGCCACGGCATCTGAAGACACTATTTTTGGAAAGATTTTACGCAAGGAGATTCCATGCAAATTTATCTACGAAGACGACAAAGTTGGTACAAAGGGCATTTTTTCAGTATCTATTCATTATATATATATATCTTTGGTTTATCTTTCAATTTGTAGTGTGTGGCATTTAATGATGTTTCGCCACAGGCACCAACTCATTTTCTGGTCATACCTCGCAAGCCAATTGCGCAGCTTTCGCTGGCCGAGGATGGAGACGCTGAGCTTTTGGGCCACTTGATGCTGGTGGGTCGCAAAGTGGCCAAGGAAGTGGGCCTGGAGAAGGGCTACCGAGTGGTAATCAATAATGGGCAGCATGGCGCCCAGTCCGTTTACCATTTACATTTGCACTTCCTCGGCGGTCGCCAGATGCAATGGCCACCTGGCTAATATATTAATATAATATAAAAGTAAATAACAATTTACACAAATAAAAGTAAAATGTACAAAAAATATACAAATTAGAATATTAGCATGTTGCTGGAAAATATTGCTTGAAATCTATGGCATTGTTAAGAAAATTACGCAGTTTGCCCCCATTGCGTGTTTTCTCAGCCAAACTGTCGGTGTCCATGCAATTGAGCAAAATCTCATCGGCGCCCAGCTGGTCGGCAATGCCGCCCGAGCGGTACTTCCGACGTGTCTTCAACATATCCAATTTTGGTGCCCACCTCCAGGATGGGTACGTGACGCCGCTTCAAAATGGGTCGCATTTCGATGGTTGCGATTTCGAATTAATAAAACACAATGGCTGATACAGTAATTTGAGCCGTTTTTCTTTCATCTTTTTATTTAGCAGATTTTACATTAATATAATGCCATCGATGTTGCCATATAGGCGATTCCTAAGCATATTGCTTCGCCTTCGCAGCGAACCCTTTGAATCGTAAAATTCCACAAAATATGGAATCATTTTGCACGCGATCCACTCTCCGCGTGGGAACAATTCATTGCAGGCCAATCGCTCCGAACTGTTCCGCGAGGAGCCAGGTGACGAGGATGATGTACATTCTGGTGTCGGCGGCAGTCCCTTATTGCTGGGATACTCGTGCAGACGCACCTGCACATTCCACCACTCGTCACCGACGCTCCTCGTCGAGGGTGTGGGCGTGTCCACGCTTCGGGCCAGCAGATCCGTAAGCCTTGACTTACCAACACCTGCAAAAAAAAAAAAAAAAATAGAAAGGGAAAAAACGGGGGATTCTTTTAATTTGATTTAATTTTGCGGGAAACGCACCTGCGTCGCCGAGCACCAAAATGCGAATTGTGGAAACGTTCTGAATTGTTTTTTCCTCCATTTTTGTTTGAAATGAGATTGTATGCTGTAGCAATTATATTTCACGAATGTCAGCAGTCAAATGCACGCGAGAAGAGCCTGCTTGATATTATCATATTCCAAACTGAGAAATTGCCTTGACAATTTCCGATTTATCAATAAGGAGCAGTTTCGATTGAATGATCAATCAATTGAAGAGCACTTGAAAGTTCTCCTGATTTACTCTCTGTTAGCTGTTATGTTAACTTTGGCTTTGCGATAGCCTCTTATTATTAATAATCGATAATTGGCCGGTAAGTAATACTCATGAAATAAAACGAAATAAAAAGTAGCTGTAGTAGTTTCAAACATTTGTTTATTCTTTATAAACGTTTTCAATGTCAGTGTGTTTTTCTTGTGGTTTAATTTATCTATAGACGACGTTGTTGAAGGTTTGCGACTGGAAATTCGCAAACATCGGTTTTCGTTTTTAAATTCTTTGCGCTTTTTTTTGTTGTTTTTTGTTTTGGTTTGAAATAAAAGTATATACTTGTTTGCAAATATAGTTGCCACATATATATATATATATATATGTATATATATATACATAACGAAGTATGCAGTTTGTTTATTAACATAATTTAATCATTTTCGTTTTCCAGTTTATTCAGTTTGCAAGTAAGAACTTTTTAAAACATATAATCGTTCGTATTATGTATACTATTATATACGATTTGTTTGTTTTTTTTTTTGCTTGTTGATTTCTTTAGTTTTATATAGTAAATATAATTTATTTAAAATTCAAAAAACAGCTATAAACAGTTTATCATAAACAACAAAACTCCGGAAAGAGCTTAATAATGTGGTGAGTCTCGTTTGGATAGAGTGTGGTGAGAATGTGTGTCGCCATGTGTCTCACTACATACATCTATGAATTAACGGTAAATAGTTGGAGTGTCTATACTAATGCTGAGTTGCCCAATAACGGACCACAATCGAAGGGGGGAATGGGAGTGATGCATTGAACAGCGACCTATGCAGGCTTATTTATGTATTATATATATGTATGTATGTATATCGTATGGCTAAACTTCATACTATGCGGTGCTGTTGTGATTATGTACGTATGTCTGTAAATCTTTGTTTTTATGTTATTTTCCGTTATTTGGTATATAAAATGATTTTGAATTTGTTGCATTTGTATGTATATGTATTTATGTTAATATTTATGTAGGTATGTTATGCATATTCCTTATGTATATGTGTATGTACTTTCATATAATGCTCACGCTATGTGGCCTTTTTAACTCATATTTCAACATCAAACATTGCCCTATATTTTGGTTTACCTTTTTGTTTATTTGTTTACTTATATAATTCTTGCTGTTGTATTTGTCATTATTACATTTTCCTTTTGCCCAACACACTCAAACATATATTATATATATATAAGTGCAAATACTCTGCCAGATCCAACTGTCCAACTGTCCGATCATCAGGTGCGCTCTATATAGTATCGTTTTTAGTTTGGTTTTATATCGTTTTCGTATGGTGTTGCTAAATGCATTTATGCCTGATTTATCGAATATAAATTACATACACAAATATCTAAAAATAAAAATACATGGACATCTACCGTTTTGTTTTTGCTTTGGTAATTTCTATTTGTATTTTTTATTATTACTCATTTTTAACTATTGTTATTAATACTTGTTTATGTTTTTCTTTTTTTGTTTTCAGTTTTCTTTTTTTTCTTCTTTTAACTACTGATTTGTGCTTTTGTGATGGCTTCTGCTTTGCGCTTTGACTGCTGCTTGCATTTAAAATGTTTAAAAATAATACAGATACCGCATGCCTAATGATAATCATATTGTACATCCATGTATAGATATAATACATATTGAAGTGTTTGACTTTTGCTTTGGTCAGTTCATGGGTGGCTTTATGTGTGTGTGTGTGTGTTTGTTATTTCTGTAAGTATGTACATGTAGTTGGGTTAATTACACTGTCCTCCAAAATGTTTCGGACAGCGCAATATGTGTTACAATTAATATACCAAACTGAAGAAAAACGCAAATGAAGTAATTTGTTTCTTTTGCTAATATTTATATATGTTAAAGCATATATATATATATATATATATATATATATATATATATACATATATATATATATCATATATATATATATATATATATATATATATATATATATATATATGTGTATATGTATATATATAATTTGCTTTTATTCATTCATCAGTTTAAATCAATAATCAACATCATTTTATATAATTCCATATAATTTGTTTAATATGCAAGTTTTGTATATATATAAATATATACGTATGTATATATATTTATATATATATGTATGTATATATAGTTTATTCTTGTGGTTGTTGCTGTTGTTGTTATGGTTTGTGTCATTGTTTAGTTTTGATAATTTACAGTAATTATTTGGAAAAGCAAATTACTTAATTCTTTGTTTGTTTTTTATTGAACAATACTCGTAATTTATTGAAGAATTTGGTTGCCTGTTTTTTATAATTTAGTTGAATTATATTACATAAATATTTTGTTGTTAGTATATTCAGTTTGCAAATTGTGTGTGTGTTTCTATGTTTTTATTAGTTGTAGCCTTGGTGAACATAACTACAAACTGTGTGAGGGAGTTTTTAGGTCCCTGGCTACGCATTATCATTATTACATATAATTATTATAATTTTTTGTTATCCATTTTTAAATATATTTTTTACAGGACAAAAACATCTAATTTAATAGTTAATTTTACTTGCAATATGGAAATAATCAAGAATTATTTTGGCCAGCTCCCATTTTGGAATGCGTTCAATTAAGCATTTTAAAGACTGCTGTTGTTATTTCTTCTTTGTTCTTTTTGCCAGTTCATTGAAAATACCAATTTAGTAGGTTTGTGCATAGTCCGCACCACGTCATAGAAGTATATATGTATATATATATATATATATGTATATATATATATGTATATATAAATGTATATTGTTTAGAGTTCATGTATATATATATATGTTTATATATACTTGAATATAATGTAAATAGTAATAACTATTATTGTTCTTAATATTTCTTGTTTTAACATTGTTTTTTTTTTGTTTTTTTTTTTTGCCATAATCGTAATCATTTAGTTAGTATTTATGTATATTTTCATTATGACCTAATATGCTTTTCCAAATCATTAAATATGACTAACGAATACAAAAAAGTTTAGAGTTCTTAGAAACCTTAGAATTTCGACAAAGAGCAGAAGCAACTCAAAGAAAATCAGTTAATTGAAAATTATTTCATAAATTAAAATGTAATATTTAGTATTTGTGTGATAGATAAATCAAAAACAATAGGAGAAGCCTATAATGTGTAATCTTCGATATAGGTTGATAGTATTTTAAGGTTTAAACTGATGATATATTCCATTGAAATCACGCTTTAAAGTTAAACTTTTGTTATTTGCTTTTATGTTTTTTGATGTTCTTTGTATTTGTTCTACTTAAACGTCTGATTCTGTTAGCTTGTTTCGCCGATTGACCAAACCACAGCGTTGTGTATACATAACATTAGACTATGCAACGGTTATACATTTTTTTTATATATATATATATAGATGTATATATATTTACTCGTAATATAATATATTTATTAATGGATTTGGTTTTTTTTTTGTTTTTTCATCATTAGTTTTGGTTTTGGTTTCTTCCTTTCATATGTCTGTTATGTACTCTCATGTATGTTGATGTCTATGTACTTACACAGTTACAGTAATACATAATGCTCAATAATTAAATATAATAAATAATTTTCATAACAGTTTATGTTCATCTTTGTTGTTATTAGATTTCATTATCTCTAATATTTTTTATTGATTTAATAATAAACTTTCAACAGTTTTTTTGTCTATTAATCAAAATGAAAACGGTTAATATATATTTTTTTATTTATACTCGACTTATTACAAATGAATATAACTTAAGTTTTTAAAGTGATGATTTACCTTCCTTTTTACCGTTAAATAAATGTATGCATATATGTATTGAGTATATAGACTTTTTGAATAAAATTGTTTAACATACTCGTAGATTTTTATTTATGCTCAATAAACTTTAGTTTCGCGTTTTTTAAATTGGTGACAACAATATTTGTAGTCCTAGACTTGAAAACGAATATAAGTCTGCATTAATTTGAAACAAATTTGATTAATCCGAAAAGTTGTTAAGTATTAAATTGTGTGATGGATCAACCAATGTGAACAAAACTTAAATTTCTAGATCTCATTTGAAAGGTTTTTCTCATTAGATGTTCTTCCCCTTTTTGTCGTTGATTAACTTTACGGAATGAACAATTTGCAAAAACTACGATATTTGATTTGATTGTTGTTGTTTGTTGTTGTAGGCTGTTGAGGTTGTTGTATATCAATAGAATAGCTGATGATGCATACGATTAGAATGTTGACGGTTCGCTTGAGTTCTCTTTGGTTTCCTTGTTTCATATATACGCTAAGGTTTGCTATAATTCTAAAGTGCAAACAAACCATATAAATAGTCGAATGATAATGCGATAATGAGCTGGAACGCACCTGCATTTGTCATCCATGTAGCGTTTACTTCATATTCTTAAGTATTTCGTCAGTTTCCTCGGGATCCTTCAGAGTATGCCATTGTGCTATGGGTCGACGTGGCGAGGCCAACATATCGGACCAATGGCGCAGCTCAGTGCCAGTTCCCATACAGCCGAGTATACAGCGTCCAATGGGCTCAGAGGTGCCAATACGATCGTAATCCACAACGGTAACAACAAGACAGATTTTCTATACATTTCCCAAATTGGTTGGAATTGCAAAAAAATATCAATAAATTGCATTAATTAGTGCTTGGATATTTCAATAATTATCTTAACGACCGGTTTGTTAGGGACTGCTATGCGTTGAGCATAGTACAATTGAGTAGAAGAATATTTTCATATTATTTGAGATACACGTGTTTTGATTGTGGATTATTAAGGGGATAAGAGTTACTGGTTACAGGCAGACACTACAAATGCTGTATTGGAAAGCATAGTACATAGGCATAGTTTTTGTTTAATGTTGAACTACTATTCTTTATTTGGTATTGTTTTTTTTTTTTTTGGTTTTGGGTGCTCTTTTAGAACAAGGTGCATTTGAGTTTAGAAGAGTTTTGCTTTGGAAAGCGGTATGCCTATATAGCTTCAACAGATTTGATTGTTTCCTGAATTCTGTCGAAAGTGAAGAGTTTTGTAGAGAATCCCATCAAATTTAAATACAAGCTGGTAGGAGTTTATCTAAAGGTGGGCGACATATTTTCAAGCATTACAAAAAGCGCCATTAAACACAATTCTAAAGTGGATGGAATTAAGATGTGTCCATGTTTTGGATGGGGTTTTTTTTTTTTTTATATTTTGTATTTTAACAAGCATTGCATGCATTTGTCTAAGCTTTAAATTAAACAAAATTGTATAATGATACGTAAATAAAAAGTTCTGTTAGATTGCTGAAGTGATATTAAGCGTATGATGTTCTCCTTGTGAGTGTTTTTTAGTTGTTCTTTGCTTGCTGGTGGTATGCGCAATGAGCTTATATTGAAATGTACAAATATATATCTTTTCTCTTAACCTGGGGCTAATGAACAAGTTACTTTCTTATATTTTTATATATAGATATATATAATGCTTTGGTTTTTGTCAACATTTAAGCTGAAGCAAAAAGAAAAATGTTCATTAAATACTTGTAAACGAAAATGTATAATATTCAATCCCATTTGTCGTTCAAATTTTTTTATTTCCTTTTTTTTTTTTTTTTTTAGTCAGATACTACATGTTTTTCCATTTTGGGGGGGCAGGTCTCGGACTAGCGCACGTAACCAGAGTTCTTTAGTAATGGTATTCATATTTTTTTTTATTTTTTATTTTTGATGTACTATATGTATGTTGTCATAAGTATTCATGTTGATACGCTATACTTCTCTGTGGTGACTTGGCTTGTGTTCTTTTCTATATTATTTTGAAACTTGTACTGTATTGCTTGTATTGTAGTACTGTAGTTTGGTGGTTTAGTGGTGCGATTGGTTTATTCGATATTCAAATCAGAAGACAGTGTCAAAATAATGGACCCATATTGTGGTGCATTATTGACGCCGCTGACGATAGTTTGCGATAGTTTGTATTATGGAAAGAGTAGTAGGTAGTTTTAAAGTTTTGTAGTTTTGTAGTTAAGAGTGAGTGTGTTTTTTTTTCATCAATTATCGAATATTTTCAGCTTTCTATAATCTTGGACTCGTGCACTGCATTGCGAGTGTATTCAAGAGAGCCAGCGGCACTACTGCTAGCTCTCTCATATTAACTACGAGTAGACAGTGTGGGTGTTTTTTAAATTTATTTATTTTTGGTTGAGTGTCTCAATTTGTTTTCTTGGAGCGTCTGTAGTTGTTACTCCGAACCGGAACAGACCTAACCTACAATAGTTGTCATGTTGTCTGTGTCAAAATCAGCATCAAACATACAAATATTTTTAAAACCAAATCAGCTGAGCTAAGCACAAACTAAACAAAAAAAAATTGTATTGTATTTTTTAATTTAACCACAAAAGTTTCTCAATCAACTACACAAAGTAAAAGCAAATCAGGATTAGATTTTCTTTGGCAACAACGCACTGCGCTCAGCATATCTTATATTATTTACAGCCGGCATGTGGGCGTGGCAGTCGTTGAGCAAAGTAAAAGTAAAAGTAAAAAAGTAAAGCAAACGTTTTTTTTTGGTTTTTAAATTGATAAGTTAAAATACAACATTGAACATTGAGTACGTTTCGGATAAATTTGTTTAAGGAGCACACATATAACAATTAAATTGATTGATTAATCGAGTAGTTTAGGAGGAGTTTTGGAGGTATGCGGGCAATACGAAAGTTTTTTGGCTATCCGTTTGCTTGTTTTGTGTTTGTAATAGTGTTTTTTTTTTATAGTTTTTGAGTAAGAATACGAGTATTCAACACATGTAATATACAATATGTATGTATATATTTGTATATGTATATATATATATATTAATATATATAAATAGTTATATTAATAACAACAATTGCACGAAAAAGGCTAGAGTGTTTGATTTTTTTTAAAATTTTTTTGGGAGGCGGGTTCGTTACTCAAACTTGTTTAGAACATGTTTTTGGTTGATAGTTCAGAAGGGACAGCTTTAGTTACAGTTAACAGTAGGTAGTAGAGTAGTAGTAGTAGTAGTAGTAGTTAGTAGTAGTAGTAGTTAGTAGTTAGTAGTAGTAGTAGTAGTGGTTTTATAGGATAGTATAATACATTCTCGCATACTTGTATTTGTTCAAATGGTACTTCAAATGAGAACGACTCATTATAGTAAGGGTTGAGGGTGCATTTTTTGATACTTGTCTTCTTCTTTTTCAAACGTTTGCCATTTTGCATGATTGCAATTTTCACATATGGATCTATAAAATAGAAAAAATTGAAAGAAAGAAAAAGAAAATACTTCTTTTATAATACTAAAGTAAAAACTTTGAAGTTGATGAGCAGATTTTTGGGTTTTTTTGTTTTTTGTTTTTTTTTTTTAGTAGATTTTGGCTTGTGTTACACACATAAAGAAAAACGGTACATAAAACGTTGATTAAATATATATTTAATATTGGTTATAAGATAGTTAACAAATAGTACTTCAATAAATGAAAACAACGATTAAAACATATCAACAAACGAAAGCTGAAACTTGGTTAAAAACGAAGCCAAACCCATATTTGGAGGAAATGGCAAAAAATAAAATAAAATGTTTTAAATAAAGTCTTATATGCTGATAAGTTAGCATTTAAGGTTTCATCGTATAGAAACGGTATCAACATATGGAAAATCGCAAGAGTTACAAAGAGCTCGTCAACATTAGATCGATAGGATCCGCTCGGTTATCGATAATTATTGATAAAGTTTGTTTCTGCTTTCGTTTGCCTGCTGTTGAAAAGAATTGTTGAAAAAATGTTAAATCAAATATATATTTAGATATTTAGTTAACGAGTACTTTAGAACACAGTAACTCTTGAAACTCAAGGCACACAACATAAAAATCATAAGATACGAAAAAATAGTTACAGTTGAAATAGTCTCATCATCAGAATTTTAGATCGAATATCATTAGAGCATGGAATAATGTCAATTGCTTTTTCAAAACATACTTGAAAATGTTCTTTTGTTTGTAAAAGCCTAGAAGAACTCGAATACCCTTTGGGGTATTTTTATTTTTATTTTTTGGATATATTCGGCGGCAACGCTTTCAATTTGGCTCTTCACTTGGGTGAGCCGAAAAACTTGAATGTGAGTGTTTGAATTATGTAATTAGTAGAATTAGATTACATGCAAAAGTGAAGCTAGAAGCAAGCGAATTTAAATGTACCGCGAATTTGAGCAAGAGCCGTCATAATTTTCTTTTTGATTTTGCCAGGCATAGGTTAAAAAACTGTGCACAATTTAGTGATGTTAACGTTGCCAGACGAGAATATATCCATGTATTATTGGTATTAAATGATATCATTTGGAGATTTAGCGTACGCGATATTACTTAAGAGAGAATAGTAGTATTATAAAATATGCAAGTCGAAAATTTGCGCTAAGGTAGTTGAAAAATCGAAAGTTGCGAATTGACAAAAGTAATTGGGAATAAAAATTGAATATTTTGCTCTCTGCAAACGTTGCCTTGGCGTTTGCATTTCTCCATTGATCTTAACAGTAACACAAAAGTTACTCAACTCAATAATCAAATCATAAACGAAGCAATACGAAAATTAAATACACTTGGTTAATCGAGTATGCACACATATCAAAATAGAAACTGAAGCGTTGACAAAACTGCAATAACACTCCGATTCATGTCGAGAGTCATTGTTTGCATTTTGGCAACGCTTTGGTAGCACGCCATATTACCAGACAATCCGCCCACGTCCATCTTCTTCAAGTTCTTGGCCTCGAGAATGACAACCGTTAGTTTTCCGGCGGTCGGCACGTAGCGTAGCGAGAAGCAAATGTCACCAAGCTTTTCCTGTTGTCAGTTCACGAAAAAAAGTTAAGAAAACATTTCAATGAATTAGTATAAACATTTATATTTAATCAAGTATTACAACATTGAACACTTCACATAAATTCTAAGCAGATACATTTACGATTTATAAACGAGTAATATTAACTAATCGAAATGGGCTTCAATCGGTCGAGATCAAGACCTTAGCTTTACAGCTCTTACAATCCATAAATGGATTAGATTGAACGTGAAAATTATTTTGGGACATTGATTAAGAATCGCTTTAGTTAATGAGAAAACTCTTGAAATTGATTCAGAATCATAATTCAGTCAGTGAGAAATCTACTAATAATATATGAACGATATTTCGATTCACAGAATAATAATAAGAAGACTTTAATGCCTATTCAATATTAATATTATTGTCTTAGTGCTAGCTGATAAATGAAAAATTTTCATTACGAATATAGTTGAAAAGTTTCTCTTGAAGAAATTCTCGAGGGTTAGTAAATTCAGGTCTAAGAAAATGGCCACCAGGCATGAAACTGATTGGTACGGCTTTGATTTATTAATTAAATTCAATTGAGTTACCATACGATATTTATAATAATAAGCTAAAGGACAACAAACAAAAATAGTAAGATATTTTCACTTAATACACACGAAATAAATGGGAACTTAAATAGATATATATCGTATATACGTAAAATTGGTTGGGCTTACAGGGGGATAAATGAGTATACTTAAGTACGTTGTACAGGGTATACAGTTATTGTATTATTTAACAATGGTTACATTTACTTTATTTATAGTTTAATATTGACACAAAACAAAAACGCCACAAATAGATACATGGAAACACATTTACTGCACGTCTTAGAGCTTCGATTTGATTAAGTGTTTATACATAAATATTAATGGGTATAAATACATATATATATATATATATTATATATATTTTATGTATATATATGTGAGTAGAACTGAAAATTGATTAAGAACCAAACCTAAACAAACAAAACAAACTTATTGACTTTTGTTTGCGTGTTGTTTGTTTTGTTGTAGTTTCACGGGTATTTATTTTTTTTATTATATATTGATTTGTAGTAGATGTAACTAGTTGTTGTTGCTGTTCATTGACTTACTGTTCATAATGGGTAAAGATTACAGTGTGTATAGACAAATTGCTTGCGAGTTCTTATGTTGTATAACCCAGCTCAAAACCAACGGCACAAAAAGCAAAACGGATATTTTTCTTCCTTTTTTATTTTATTTATTTATTTTTGTTGTAATCAAATGAATATTTTAATTGAGAGAAAGAGAGAGTTTTGAGATTAAAAGAAAGATTGGCCGATTTGTAATATATACAGTTGGGCTAAATTCCTTGGACAACTATGTGGGCCGTGGGCTCAAAAATTACTTAGTAGTTAGGAAATCAAAAAAATAGAAATAGAGAGGAGAACGAGCGAAAGTATTGGATATTATTTATTTATATGTACATGAAATGCAAAATGGAGTAATTAGATATATATTACAATTGTAAAAAGTTGCACATGTATTTAATAGAATTATCTAACGATTAAACTTTTATAATACGAGCATGTAAAAACCCTTGGTTTGTTGGAACCACTTGCATTTGTTTGGGTTCAAGTTTAAGTTTTCGATTTCGATTTCGATTTGATTTTTGGTTACGATTTCGCCATATTCTAATATACACTAATCAAATGCCAATTGCTTAATAAGCCTGCTCCAAAGCCAGCAATTTGTACAAACTAACCCGGGATTTTGTTGAGTTGTTTTATACTAAGTATTTACTACATAAAAAGTGTGTTCTTTGAGTTGTTATTAAAATAAAGTATTTTATATAGAGAGCGAGCGAGCGAGCGTTATATAGAAACAGAGTGAGAGAGAGAGAGGAACAGAGAGAGAGAGAGAGAGTTTTTGCGTAGTCACTTACCGCTACTTTGATTTGAGTTTGAATTTGAGTTATTTAATTGAAAGATTTGGCTTTGCATGGGCTTTCAAAATGTCTCAAGACTTATATGTCGAATGTTGGGTGAATCATGTTTATGCTGACCAGAATAGAAAATAAAATTCAATTTAAATAAACAATAAAAAAAAACTCTAAATTTAATCAAATCAAAATTTACGAAATTATAGCAAATTAATATTTGTTGATCATTTTGTTATACTTTTGTTTCTGACTGTCATCGAAGCTCTGCTTAAACATTACAGCACACAAACAAGTTGCAAATCATAAATATATATAGATATATAATTGCATTATACAAATATCGGGCGAGACAGCGATATAGTTAAAAACACAAGAATTTGCTGGTAATAAAAACACGAAAGAAGCATTATTACAGTTTCATTTATTAAAACACAAAATTTATTGACGCTTGTGCAATCACATATTTTAATTTAAATCTTTGTATTTTTTTTTATTAATTTTTAGGTTTGTTTTTTTTATATTTTTACTTGTAAACATAACGAAACACAAACACAACGAAAATAACTTGAACACATTTATGAGGACAACAACCAAAGCAAATAACGATAATTATGATTTTTCTCCCACGGAGAGTATCGATACTTACATGTTTCCAGGCAATTCAGTATTGTTCCAGATGTCGGTATCGATATGAGTCAAATTGTTTCGAGTAGAGTAGAGTTTTGATATTGATTTTTTGTTTGGTTTCATTTTGGTGAATTTTGAGGCGATTGTATAGATTTTTTATTGATTGTTTTTGGTTTGTTTTAGCGATACGTTCAAAAGTAATTAAAGAGAAAAATGAAGAGCATATTAAAGATTTTTCAATTGCAGTTCCATTAGAATTTCAATAAGATGGCAAATTTGAAAAAAGAAAAGGTTTTGCTTTAACGAATTTTATTGTGTACAAGTGGTTTTGCGTGTCTCCGTGTGTCTGAGGGTGTGTGTAGTTTTGGGTGTAGTCAGGTGTGAGTGTACAGTACTAATACTTAGTGGCAATAATGTCTTTATAGAGTATATAGTCGGAAGAGTATAGTTTGTAAGCAAAAACATGCAGTTGGTTTATTCTTGGAATGTCTTTATATATTTACGAGTATGTTTCAGTTGCTAAACTAATTGCTTATAATGATAATTATATGAAAAGCTTATATTACATTTTGTTGTATACCATTGCAGATAAACTTATTTTCTTTAAACCAGCAACATATCAAACAATCTTCTTTTAAAATGTTTATCTGGATTGCCTTTAAGCTTAAAATAAATTCTCTTTTACTTAAAATAACTCTATTTTCTATTTATTTAAAGAAAATGAACGTTTATATTTTTATTCTGCAAGTGTATAACATATTCGGCATACCGAAAGCAAATTTCTTTGTTTTTACTTCCTTTCGTATTTTATTTGAATTTAACATTCGCTGACGAAATTAGTTTCTTCTTTATTTGTGTGCTTTTTGTGTAAGTTTTTGTGGGTGTGTGTGAGTTGGGTTATTGCTTTCTTTAGAATTGCATTCATTAAATTACTTGGACCAATTTTCAACTTCTTATTTTAAATGTGAGTTTTAATTGAGTGCACCGGTTTATGGCTACTTTAAGAATGATAAGCAAGATAGTTGGTTGAGCTTAGCTTTTGGGCCTTAAACAGTTCCAATCAAAGTGCAAAAGGAAAGGAAAATGTGTGTATGTAGCAAAGTGTGGAAGTGTGCGGTGTTAAGTAGGATATTTGTGTCTAAAGTTTTGGCATTTTTAGTTTCACTTGTCAGCATGTCGACAGACATTTTGGAAAATGGTTTTAAGGACTCTTGGAAAGTTTGTAGGCCAAGCATATTTTGTACATATACATATATAGTTGAGACCATGCTGATTGATTTATTCTTATGATATTATTATGCCACAAATTCTCTTCACAAAATAATATTGCAGTGTGATTATTTGCATTTCGGAATGCTAATTAAGTTCTTAAGTTTTGTACTAGTATATGTATAAACAATTTGATAGAGTAATACAAAAATTCAACTACAATATTAATGATGCCAGAAAAGATGCAGACATAACAAGAGAAAGTTGAAAAACAATGCGCAAATCTCTTAAATTCTTATTGAATATTGAGTTAGATTGATTATCTTGTATATAGTACAATAGGTTGGGTTAGCAGGTAAACAGTGTTTTTTGTGTAGTTCGATGCATAGAAATTGTTATTTTGTTATAATTATGTAGGTAGTATATTGATATATTGAAATGTTGGAGTGTATACAAGAGCGACAGACCAAAGAGACAGAGCAAGTATATAGGAAAATGAAAAAAACTAAATAAATCAAGTATGCAAAAGTGTTTTTGTATTGTCTTTTAAAACTTTAAGAATTTTTTTTCATTGTATTTACCTTCTACAAAAGTTCAAGAAAACAAGAGTTTTTATATATATATTTTTGTATGTATTGAAAACAATTTGTTGAGGGGGGAATTGGAGAAAGAGAAATTGAAGAGTATATATTTCAGTTGTAGTTTGGTTGTACTCTGTGTTTGGTTAAAGTTTTAAGAAAATCATAATGTAAAAAGTAGTAGATAGAAGAATGTGCAAAGAAATCAAATTCAGTTGTGCCAATCTTTCATCAACTTTGCCAAGAAGGTTGATCAAAGATTGCCTGAGCTTGTTTCCATGTTGTCTTTGTTATTGTTGTTGGTTTTGTTATTGGGTTTAATGGAGCTTTAAAGCTGTTATATATGGTATATATACAGAATATATATATTATTTTAAAGTTTTTTTTTTGTATTCTTTTTTTATATTATTTAAATTTGCATTTTGAACTGGGTAGTGTAAAAGTTGAATAAAAGTTTTGCACTTTGCTGTCTGTTATTTGTTTCTTTCTTGTTTATGATATATTCTTGTTGTTCTTTGTTATGGTTATTTGTTGTTGTCTTTTTTGTAAGTTGTTTCTGTTGTACTTATGGACAGAGTGAGTTTATTTGGGGTAAATATTTTACTGGAGCCGACACACATTATTCAAATGACAATTGAATTACTTAAAAAACAAACATCAAGTTGGTCTGCGTTAGTAATGGAAACGCGAATTACATACATACACACACAAAACACACAATTTCGTATAAGATTTCAGGAGTTTGAATACTTTGTAAGCACGTCTAGATTACATAAGTCAACAAATTTACGCGCTTTGAGTATGCTGTTTTCTGTAGTTTGTGGCTTGTTTTGTGGGACAACTCAAACAAACCCAAAAAATTATAAGCAACAGTTGTTATTGTTGTTGTTTGGTCATATACGTATAAGTATATTGAGTAAGTAAAAATTAAAATCTAAAATCAATCAGAATGAAATAAATGACACTTAGAGGCACATTTAGTTTAGTTAAGTACATATACATAAAAAGTGGAAAACACCATCGAGGAATAAACCGCCCATTACCCCCAGATATAAAATAGTAGATATGTTTATCGTTTGTATATACTGTTCTTGGTGCCATGGGCCAATGTCTACATACCTGTCCGCCTTCACCCTCAACGCTGATTAGATCACGCCATTCCTCAATGGTCTGCGCCAAGTCAATGGTGCAGAGCGGCACCTTCACCTCGCCGATTTGGTCATGTTTCGAGAATCGATCAAAGTCAAATATGGCAAAGACGAGCGTTTTATTCATGGCATCAGCATAGGGTAAACTCTGCAGATCAATTCACCGGTCAAAGCGGTCATCCTCCATTAAAGCTCAAAATCAAGAAATACATACCTTGAAAGTGAATGTTTCATTGAAGACGGGACTCAACGTTTTGCGATGCACCTTTGTCTCGAACTTCTTTTTCTTGTCCGGCAACAGATAGACTTTGACGTAGGGATCTGAGGTGCCGCCCATGTCCAAGGCGGGCAATTCCTCGGCCTGTATTACAGTAACGGCCAAACTATTCGAATTGAAATCGTATTCAAGCTGCAATATACACATTATAGAATAATAGCCACAAAATGAGGCATTCGTTCCCATAAAGAAAAAAGAGATAAAACAAACAACATTAGAAGAAAGCTTACACAAAATATCAACTGTAAATGTGTTATGGATTTTGTGCACTGCAATTCTAATTAGGTGAGTGTTATCAATAGATTTTAAAGAAAATTCAAATACATTTGTATTTCGAATACTTTTGTTATTATGTTATTATTAATAACACTTCAACTGAAAACTGAATTTTAACAATGGACAAATAAATTTCTAGTAACTTATTATTGCTTTTAACTTAAGGGTCTGAATTCACAAGGCTTTAGGTAAATATAAAAAACTATAAAGTAACAAAAAGGTTACTTTAAAAATTAAACAGTTGTGTAAAGGATTTTATCATAAAGTTAAAGTTCAACTTTCAGCTAATGTCATTGTCATATAATGTCAACGGTACATATAAAAAGTATTTGAAATATATATCTGAATGCAATTTCTTGTTTGAAATAGCCTCTAAATGAGTTTATTTTATGTATGTATTGGCCAATACCTTGAATGTTGTGAGCAAGTAATAAAGTTAAGTTATGCAAGCAAGTTGAAAATTGCGCTTCTTAGCATTTTTAACACTCTCGACCCGACTTGTGTTTACTTAACAGGTGTTTCCTTCATTAAAAAATAGTGCATTGACATTTACTGTATCTGGTATTGAGTTAGTTGGGTTAGTTAAGATCGTGTTGTTGGCCATTTGCAAGTAGAGTTCTGGGTCTTTGGTTATTATGTAGATCGAAGCTTACCTTAAAGTTGAGTCGCCCCAGCTTTTGTTCGCTCTGTTTGTCCTCTTCGTCGCCCTCTTCGGCATTTTCGGTTAGTTCCTCCATATCAGGCTGAACCTATGGCATACCAGAACCCAATAACTACTAAGATTTGATGGCATTGCAGATACTTACTTTCTCTTTGTATGCCGATCCCAATAACTGTACCGATTTCATATCGACACCCTTCTTACCCTTACCATCTTTGGTTCTTCGTTTCTTAAGGAATCTGCGCACACAGAAAAATATGATACCAAAGACGACGAGGAATACGAGTATTATAATCGCCACAACGCCCCATGTGGGCAGGCCGGTACGTTCAGCAATTGCCTCGGTGACCACTTCGCCGGCATGCTCAATCTTTTTGATTACCGGCACAGAGGTGGTAGTAGCTTCTTCTTGATCATGCAATAATATGACAATTTACTAAATCGTCTTTCGACAATGGGACCTATGGCTTACCCTCGGGCTCTGTTGTTGTTTTTGGTGCTAATGTTGTTTCCACTTGTGCAATTCTTTGACTCTCGGCTGCCTGTTGCTCCTGCTGATCCACTTCCCGAAACTTGGAGTGATGTGTCGTTTCTTCCAGCTTCTGATTGGCCGTCTCCAATTCTGCTGCAGGCTCAGCATCTGCCACAGGCGCCGGCTCTGACTCCGTTTCCGATATTGCATTTGGCGGCATTCTGCACTGTGTTTATTTCTATATTGAAAAACATTGTTCAGAGGGATTAGAATTGATTTTTCAGATGCAAATTACAAAAACTAGTTTGCACTTATTAGCTAACTCAGCTCTGACAAATGCATAGTACATTTAATTAAAAAATATACTGTTTATGACTGATTTGTTTTTCCCAAATATATCTTATTTCACCTACAGATAAATTTTTCTTTTTATGTGGTAGTTTCGAGAAAGACGCTTTCATATTGCATTTTTTGTGTAATTTTAGGTGTTCTTTGTGTTATCAAAAGTACTTCTGATGGGCTAAGCTTTTGTTAGTCTAAACTTTATTTCTTCTTTGAAGTATTTTACGTTCAAAGCTGTTTCTGTTGTTAATTTTTCTGTATTCTTGATTTTTATTTGTTAGCCATAAGCATTTCAAAATAACTACAACATATTTCTGAAAAGGAAATCCCACAAAAGTCGTTGGCAATTTCACTCTAGCTGTGCATATCCTTGGAAACACTAGAAGTGCGCCGAGGGTGTCGGCAATTACTTGGCACCAAGTAAAAGTACTTTTGAATAGCATGCCAAGGACACACACACACACTTAAGCGACTTCCCACACACACAATAAGTTCTCCCACATACACAACAAATTTCATAGCTAGCCCTTCGCTCTGCTTATTTCTTAACTCTCTTTTTATAAAGATGGGTTAACATAATAAAATGAAGTTGTGCTCTTTTTCAGAGCACAAAAATGGGAGCATCTCTGATTTGGATGAAGAACACTCAAGACTATATATCTTAAAATAGGAGTTTTTGTTGAGCATATAGTACAGATAAGTATAGATGCCTCCTACAAGGTATCTTCTCGTTGGTCGCTTAGCACTAATTAAATTCCATCGATTTTGTTTTGTTTGCTATTCAATTTCAGAGCATTTCTCTTTGATGAAATCCATATTATTTTCCACAAAAACAAATTCAGTTTACTTTAATTGTGTTGCGTTTAACCTTTGACCTTTTAAGTCATAAGCAATATTTTTCACAATCTTCAGTCATATTTCTTTGATTGACAGTAAGCTGTGTGACAAAAGACAGGAGGGCGTATTGTGGATACTAATGAAACTGAATAGCCAAATCTAAACAATTTCCTTATAACAAGCTTGATTTCCTTACTGAAGAGGCCCCAAGAGATATGAAAATATATCTGTCATTTCTCCATAGAAATTATATTGCGAGTGATACATAAAAATCATAATATTAAATACAAGCAGTTTTAATTCTTTTGGAAACTAGTTTACTACGTCAATACAATAATATAAAATAAGCAAGTTAGGGTTCCCAGATGAATGCTTTCAAATATTGCATGAATTTGAGTAAGTTTATTAAGCGAAAATCCTTTATTCTATCTATCTACTTAAGTTTGCGGTTTTAGATTCACTTAGCTAGAAATTGCTATTGACAACATGTCGTATGCGCATTTTGTAGGCAATGTGGCTACCAATTGCTTCTTACTGCGCCGTGCGGAGCTGCCTGCTATTGCTCTTGCTTGCACACCAAATGACGTCAAAGGTAACTGGACACCCATACACACACACACACACACACACATACGCACAGGCACCCACATACTTACACACACACACACACACACACACAAGGAGACGCAGCCTCGAGCGATTATGTTTATAAGTATGCGTGGAATTTAAATGCGACGGAAAATTTGAGTATAAATTAAATACAAATGTCTCGCTTATGGTACGGGAAAGGAGATCGGGGTGTGGATATTGGGCGTGGCATTTGATGTATTTGTAATATCTATATGTATGTATAAGTTGCTATGGGTTGTGCTTGTTTGTGTTCCACCGAAAATTCTTTTACACAAGCCATTTGTAATGCTTCAAAAGACACTCGACTCGGGTCCCTTTAAGCAGCTACGGTATGTGTGGCGCCACTTGAGTGCCACTGAGCACAAACATTGGTGACATTTTGTTTTTTCGCAAAATCAATACATTTAAATGCTCTCCACAAAAGTCAATTTGAGCTTCTGTTACAAGCAGCTGACTCAGCTGTCAAGTGCCCCAACAGCAAAAGAACAATGAAGTTGAATCCCACTGCGTTAAGTGCGTTTTCACTGGAAAATTGAGTTTGACTAATGAATCGGGGGAGCGAAAAATTGAGACTTCTCAATTGGATTATGTACTGGATTCTTGTTGTATGCCATGACTTGTTGTGAACATAGAAGAAGCATTTTCCAACATAAAATTCAACAGCTGAGCATCAATTTCGAGCACACAACATGCTCCATCTGTTGAGTCTCTTCATGAGCTCTTCAATCTTTGCTAAGGTCATAAGCTTTGCATGGAGATTTTCAATTGTGTAAGTGATAGAATTTAAAAGGTAGCTAAAACATGGTACAGCGTGTTTGATTCCCAAATTACAATGCTGTCGGGTTTCCAGCTTTATTCATTTTATTCTGCCTCCTTATTTGAGCAGACATTAAATATAAATGCGACAGCAGAGCAACAGCAGTAAAACGACCTTAGAAAGTGGCAAGAAGTGAAGACCCAATTCGGAGATGGTACGTGATATTTTATTAATGCTGCAAATCACAAGCTGAATAAGATTTCCATAAAACAGGCCAAGCAGTCGGGCATCCTTGTATGGCCATTGTAAAAATAATGTAAGACATATACGGGGCGAAGCGTAGGAATCTGACATAAAAGTACAGCAACAAAAGGGACGGAACAGGGATTTATAGTAGGAAAGTGGGCAGTGAAACTTCTTTACAGCAACAGAATCACACACACTCGCACACATACAAAGATACACATACGCTTGCATTTTATTGTAGCATATATTTAGAGCGCAGCAAATATATATTTTTTTTTGTCATTTTGCCAACGCTGCTGTTGTGTTTTTCCTTGCCTTTTCTCTGTCTTACAACACGCAGGCCAGCTAGGTGTTCTAGGGTGTGTGTGTGTGTGTTTTTTTATGATGTGGCTGGTGCCCACTTGTCTGGCATATTCGTGTAAAAAACTACGCAGTTCCAGCTTTTGCCCTTTTGACCAGCAGGTCGACAGGCAATTTCAAGGTGTTACTTATGATATGCTCCAAAGTGCTGTTATTTTATTAGTTGTGCTCGCGTTGTTTAGCTTTTGAGTAATTTTTTTTTATTATGACAAAATTAATAAAAGCGGAAACTAATTTTAAATTAAAGGCATGAACAAATTGGTGAAACTAAATCAGTGCTCGTGTTAAAGCTGCTTGGTGCTTGTAGTCAAAACAGATTTTGAATTTCTCATATTCATAAGGAATTTTACTCGGCATTTGTCTGATGCGAAGAGCATTCCAAGCATATTTGGCATTTCATAAAGCTTCCCTTTTGAGGCAATTCATAGGAACTCGTTTGCCTTATGTGTTTCTGATGACCTTTGCCAGCATTTTACCATAAATAGATTGGCTTGTGTGCGTGGGCTCCGATGTAGCGTTCAATTACAAGCTGGCGAGGCAATCAAAAGCTCAGCTGTATTGCACCTGTGAGAAAGAGCTCAACTAAAAATAGCAACAATTGGTTGTCGTTCAGATTGGGGACGAGTTCAATTTGTGATAAGATAAATTGACTTCATAAAACATGCAGCACCGATAAGTGAGCGAGGCAGCTAAAGTTATTGTTGTTGTTGTTGCTGTTGCTGTTGCTTTTGCCAGTGACAGGCACTCAAATTGCAGGCCAACGTCAAGAACTGACAATCAGGCTGTCAAAACAAATTAAGCTCTGGCCCGCACACACACACACACACACACACACACAGAGCACAGTCAAATATTTTTACCTGCAGCAGCAGCAGCGCAACAGCGAAATCACAAACACGACGTTCGCTCCTAATAGAAATGGAATTAAGTGTTATTTTGTGGTGGGAGGGTTGTCTGAAAAATAAAAAAAACAAAAAAGGGAAAAGGAAAACAGGAAAGCAGGAAGGCGACCCTCGTTGAAGCTCAGCCAATAATTGTTAAGCTTCTTCATTCGCTGATAGTCGCTGAGCAGGAAACGGTTAAACTTTTTGTAGAGCGCGCGCACGCGAGAGATAGAGTGGCATGTGTTTTGCCAGCCAGCGCGCTCGCTCACGCTCTCTGGCCTTTTCTCTCTCTCTCTCTCTCTCTCTCTCTCTCTCTGTCGTTGTCGCTCTCTCTGTCTGTCTGCGTGTTCTGCGCACATAACCCAGAGAAAGCAACAAAATAAGTTAAAAGCTGTGGATGGAGTAACGCGAAAAAGAATTGAATAAAGCCAGACGAACGTCTAACCAAGTTAAGATTGCTTAGGCGACACTTTCCCCAAGGCGACAATGATAAAAGGCCGATGATGATGATGATGATGTTGACAACAAAACTAATTTTCCACATCATTAAGCTTTTCGCTTTCAACGCTCAATATTTCATACTATTCTATCACTACACAGTTACACGGCTGCAGTCTACTACTACAGTTGCAGTCACCTACACACACCAACACACTCACTCACACAAGCACACACCCAAATCCATACATCATATTTATTGTATCAAAATTCGTTTAAGCAAGATTTTTCGGCACAAGTCTAAAGGGTCAAAAGTACGCACATACTCCAAAAAGCAGGCCCCCTGTCAATGTGTGTGTGTGTGTGTGTGTGTGTGTGTATAAGTCTTACTCTCTGAAAGTAAATATTCCTTAGTGCGTGTGTGTTTGTGTGTGTGAGTGTTTGCCTTTGTTCGTTGCTAACTTGATTATTGGCAATTATGTGAGGTTTTAATGTGTTCTTCCACGGCCATCTCTACACATAATTTGAGCTAATAAAACAAACGCTTATCGCACACATCTTAGTGCTTGCTAAATGTACCCTGCACTCCTCAAAAACTCTTTCCGACAAAGCAGACACCTTCGATTCCATGGGATGTCGTTTTTTTTTTCAGTTCAGAACAATTTCACTTTTTGGTTACTATTTTATATTCCGCCATCTTATAACCATTTTTTTACAAACGAAAAATTAAAAGTGCTTACAGGGTATCTTTAAGGGGGCCACTGAAGTCCTCTTACTAATACTAAGTTCATTTTCGGGCTCACAGCTTTGTGAATTAACAAGAGCCATGCCAACAAAGATATGCATAATTAAGTTTAGCTGACCCCTAATAAAACTTGGAAGACTTTGCCTTTAAGGTAAGTAGATTAACTCAAGATGAGATGGAAGCATATGATATTCGTAATTCTATTTCCATATAATATACAAAGTGTATAAGTGAAGATAATAAATTCTCAGGTAAATATTTTCAAATTTCTTCTCGTAACACAAAGAAATGCTAATTTAAACTTTTAAAATATAAAATCAAAATTTACGGAAAAGGACAACCCGAAGCAAAAATTCAACTTAGATTGTGCTTGTAATTTTATTGAATAGTTGAACAATAATAATGATTCGGCAGATTTGCCCTCAAAAATAGGCAACATATTTGATGTCAATTTATTTTATATTTACCTATTTCTTTAGACAATGTTGCCAATGTTTGTCGTAGCCGCAAAGCCAAATTGTTTACTGTTTGTTGTAGTTAAGGCTGTTTTCTGTTGTTTTATGTTGTTGCTGTTGCTAGTAGCTGTTGGGCTTGGAGCAACGTCAAACGAAGCGTAAACGTTGATACGCTGATCCGGCTGGAGGGCGGAAGGCTCAAGACGGTCTCAGGCTCTCAGGGCTGCTGGCAGACGAATCATGTGAATGATGTGAGGGGACTGAATGTGTGTTGTGCTGCTTGGCTAGTGAGGCCTTTGCTTAGCGCTGCTAGTCTCACATGTATTTTGAACACTTTTTTTTTGTTACCAATTTTCGATTTTCGATTGGTAATTATCGATTAACCATCGATTTGCACGGTAACAGCAAATTTAGTCGAATGTTTTGTTGTTTAACAAGTTAAATGTATTTTGGTGTATATTTTGCCAGACGAGAGGCGCAATGCAAACAGCGTGAGCGATAAACGATACAAAGAGAGAGAGAGAGAGAGAGGGAGAGGAGAGCGTGAGCGGGCAAAGAATTAGAGCGAGAGAAAGAGGGAGAGAGAGAGCAGAAAACAGAGCGTATACGTAATATTAAAAATACAATGGTATGCGTAAATATTGATAGAGCGAATCTCGCTGCTAGTTGTGTGTCCACGAGTATGTGTGTGTGTGTGAGTGTGAGTTTTTCTGTGTGTGTGAGTGTATAAGTGGTGCAGGGGAAGGGCAAATTCGCTTTTGCTGCTCTGCTGCTGCTGCTGCTGCTGTCCACGAAGACGTTGTTAAAAGCAAATTCAGGATAGAGATTTTCTTAGAGCCGTTTTCCTTTTTTTGAGCTTTTCTCTTGTCATACACACACACACACAAAGTCAAATCACACTATTGGGCATGTGCAATTTTTGTTAAATTGTTTAAAATATTTTACACAATTTTGGGCACAATTTGCAACTGTAGAAAATATTATTAATCTTGATAACAGCAGCAGAATTTTCTCAGTGGGTCACGACGCGTAAAATCATGTGGAAAAATCAATATTTAAGCCATGCACATCACACGCGTTTTCACTTTCCATTACATTTTGGCGTTAAGCCATCGCCAACAATTCTTTTTGATGCGATTATTTCAATTCACAATTAAATATTGTATATTTTTCAGCTTGCGCAAATGAATTTGCTTAAGCAACTCCAGAATTCTGATACACAAAAAATGTTCTGGTTTTTAGCACAACGCGTGCCAACACACACACACACACACACACTCACTCACCCCCACACACACACTCACACATATAAAGACACGCACACGCACAACACTTTTCGGGCCATTCGTTTGGGTTTCGCTTTATGTAATAACTCAATTGGTAGATAATGCAAATACTTTTAGTATTCCAATTGTCTTTCGACACTCTTGCAAATAATTTGTTTGTGTATTTCGATGGTTTATTTGTCGTTTAATTTTGCAAAAACTTTTTATTCTTGTTGAGTTTTTTCTATTCACCTTCAGTGCAGCGTGTTGTACTTGCAGTCAACTTCCACGGTCGATGTTCATTCGCGTTTTGGGCAATACAGTCAAGGAGCTGCGAGGAAAAAGCCAACAGACATCGTTCAGTTGTCACCAAGAGAGCGAAACGGGTCAGGCATCGATTTTGCGTTGGTGGCCAGCGGGTGGGCGGTGCGGCTTTGTAGACCAGAGCAGAGCTTTTGAAGAGAGTGTAGACTTTTGCTGGCATTGGGCGATATATGTGTTTGAAATCCTTCACATTGATTATTTGTTATACATTTGGCTTCAGTTAAACCTAGTTTAAACACACCAACAATTTTTAGTATCTAAATTTTTAAGACAAAAGAATTTTATTTCTTCAAAATCAGTAAATTTAATTTAACCATGGTTGCTTATCATAATTTTAAAAACAATTCTGAAGTGATTTGTAGAGTAAAATCCACGAAAGCCAACGAAAGAGATGCAAAAGCTCTTACATTCACTCTCTCTTTCTCTCTATCTCTCCCTCTTTTTCTGTCCATTTCCCTCAGCCGTTTTGCAAAACATCTGATACGCAGACACATGTTTCGGATATAAAGAGCCCTTAACTGAAAAGATTCGGTGCATGCGTACTACAATGGAACTTTCTGAATGACAATGGCAATAGTTACTCGAAAGCGTGCCTATATTGGTGTGAGGCCTCTTGCCGTTAACCCGGCAAGGACATGTGCCCATGTGGGGGTTGTAAGCTAACGCATTAAAAGCTAACATCGCAGTAAGCACGCCAAAGTTTAAAAAGCTTTAAAGTGTAAGCTTCTGGTTAGATTTTGTGTTGATGGTTTTATGTGATAGATGGCGCCAGTGTACATTTTTTTGTTACACACACTTTGAATCTGTGCAAAACTAAATAATAAACAACTAAAAAGCAGCGAAATGAGCCAGTCAAAATGTGTAGACATCATCATTAATGGGGCAGCTGGCACTTCCGATGTGCAATTACGGATGGCAAACACAAATCAAAATGTAAATTCAAATGTGATATGAAAATCATGTCCTGGCAACAGCCTGAGTCACACGCACGTGATCCACAGAATGGATGAGCCGCAATTCAATAAGCTCTACATAATCAAATAGATTTTGCCATATAATTCTAGTTATTTATAAAGCCAAACAGTCATTTGCTATTAACATTTTTGACATAACACTAACTAAGCGGCTAGCATTGTAAGGTGGGGGATTGCTGGGAGGCGCACTGTCTATGCAGAACACATGCATATTTACATTTCGTGCTTAGGACATTGGCGCTCTGTCAACAAATGCTTAAAGCAAATAATCTATAAATGTGCCAGGGTCTTTGGCCAGGAGGAGGCACTGAAAAGGATCAAGTACTGGCCCAGCCAGGGTCTGACTTGAGCTGCGCCAAGAATTGTCGTTCTGTTGATTGTTGTTGCAGGAGTTCGTGCTGAAATCATTATCCTGTTACTTGTCATTAATTCAGCATATCAATTGTAGCTACTGCTGCTATTGTTGTTGTCATTATTGCCACTCAGTGCGCCCAGCCGTTAAATTAGCAGCTTATAAATTATAAATTTGAATTTAATTGGCCAACTAAGAGCTCCTGGGTGTTATTGTGATGCCTTCATTCATAGCTTAAATTCTACGTTGCTCTGCTCATTTATATCTACTTTTCTGCTCAAAATGTAACTTATTGCATATTTTATTTTCATTGTTAATCAAGGTATATATCATACATGCACTAAAACAAATGCATTGCTTCTGAAAATCGATTCAGTTTTGACTATTTTGGGTTTTAATTTCCCTGCGACTCAAACTTCAAATGCTTCGATTTTTTTCATACCCTTGTCTATTACAATTCTATTTTTGTTTATGTCCACAGTAGTAGGGATGGGTGTGGCTTATTGCACTTTGATTTATAATTTCTTTATTATTGCACTTAATTTATTGCTTTTGGGAGGGCGAGTGCAATGAGTGTGACCTTTTTTTTATTAGAAAAATTTGTATTTTTAGATCACGTATGAGATATCTGTGATCGAAAAGTGTACATTTTTAGTTGGCCCTTTTTTATTGACTTGTTGACTGGTCTGTGCCCGCGACAGACAAACTGTAAAAATAGGAGTGATACTAGGGGGTTAGGAAATCGATAAAATTTATAATTGCAACTTGATAATGCCACATATCTCGCTCAACTTTGGGCTACGGTTTCCAAATGTGGTTGGTAGGTTGTTAGCGATGTCCTTCAAAGACATCGGCCCAATGCGCCTCGCCCTTAACAAATTTGGATTGGTTATGTCTTTTTCAGTTTTTGAGTTAGAATCGTCAAATTTGGTGGGTATATTACTGGTAGCCGCCTTTAATCGATAACAAGTATCTCTCTCAATTTTAAAGATAGAGTGACCACGTGGGCACGCTCACTCCGCCTCCCTAAACCGATACACCTGTTAGTATAAATCGGTAAGACCATATATCTCACACAATTTGAAGGCTAAGTCACCAAATTTGAAAAGAATATTACCAGTAACACCTTTACAAAATAAGGAGACGAACATTTGAGCCACGCCTACTCCTTTACCTTTAAAAACGATAAAAGCCGATATCTCCCGCTAATTTAGGAGCTACAGTTACCAAACTGGAAAGGAACTACAATAATCAAAATTTGAAGAAAGGATACTAGGGAACTCTTCCAACAATTTTTTATTGCCGCACCCACTCCAGCCTTTAAAATTCACTGAAGCTTATATCTACCGCAATTTAAAAGGCAAACTTCGACTGTACTTCTTGGCTACACCCACCATGTTCTTTGCTATCTCTTATGAGCTGGTATTATTTATGGTATCAAAGTATTTCAACGTTCTTTCTTGTTTGAGAATTACATTTTGTGCTAGGCGAGTAACCTGTAACCTATGTGGTAGAATTAAGTGGAAGATCGGTTAGCAGCTGCTGTGCATGAACATTATTTGATTTTTGAGGTTGGGTTCAACGATCTCTGCGTTTGCCACGTGCTGATACCTTCTTTGTGTGTTTGGTTCTCTCCCTTTTTACAGTGCACTCTGTTTGAGTGACCGTCCTTACAATAATTTCACAATTATTTGAAGTAATAGCCTATTTTGATTTGTACACCAGTGGTATAAGTTTGTAGAGCCTAAAATGTTTAAATAAAAGAAATTTTTTCCATTTTTATATTTGTAAACATTTTATTTATAAATAAATAAATTATATTATAAAAAAAATGTTATTAAGCTGAAGCCGTTCAGCTCGCCTTTTGCATGCTCGATGGGCGCGATCCTTGTTCAGGATCACCACCGCCTGATTCATAGGACACCGTATGGCTTCCATCTTTACCACTCTCCAATCTTGGAAGGGAAGAGATGGATTGCATTTATGCAACATTTTCCACATCTGGTGCGGCTTTATAATAACGCCGGGATCCAGATGCGAGCCCGAGGTCTACTGGAAACTTCGCTCCAGTCAACTGCGACCAGAGTAAACCTCACCAACGCTGGCTACGGCCTCCTTGTGTATCTACACAGATTGTGCGTCGTTACATGCAACGGCTTTATACCTGCCCTGATATGAGCCAACATCTTTACGTGCTGGTTGTGGTTCGGGTTCACTCATGATCAGTTCAAAGCTGCGGGTAGCTAGCGCTCCTTCCACCCACTTCGACTTTTTAGATATCTTTCTTAAGGCTTGTTAATATCGGAGGTAGCCAGGTATCCTATATGCTCGATGAGCGACTGGGCTATTTACGGGCTCCCAGTCAGGCTGACTATCGGCACGGGTTACGTTACTCCTTAATCCGGACCAACCTCGAACCATGATATGCACCTTAAATCAAGAACATTTCTATATGACGACCATGTCCGATGTTCAGGGAACAGATCTTAGCTAGCAGACTACTTTGATGCAATTACCAGTCGGAACCGATCTCTCTTATAATATAACAGCAATTAAAATGTAAATAATTAAATTGTTTTCTGTGGTTGTCACCAACAATTGTTGGATAGTTGGTCAATTATTATAAGCGGCAACAAAATGCCTACAGCAAATTTAGTTAGCAGCCCGAAAACCAGCGAAATGGCAAAATCGAACAACGCTGACCAAAACACTCATACATTAAGTGCTTTATTATGAACAGTAAAAATACATAAAAATTGCTAAACGGAAATACAAGTCGAATTGCACTATAACCATAACGGACAACTGATTTACGCGGCTTTCGTTGTGGCTCGTTTTACGCTTTTATGGCCGACACTTTAAAGAAACCAATGAAGCCATTGAATAACCCCAAAAAAGTCATTTGACATCAACTACAGTTCAGCATCAGAATCGGAATCATCACCGGAATGCGATGCAAATGACCACAGAAATGCATACACCGCTTCGATTGTAATTAAACGATTTCAGATATTGCCCCCAACGAGAAATTACAAATGTATCCAATGACAACAACAAAAACATCAACGAACGACCCAATTGTAATAATCATAAAAGCTGGCAGAGCTCATCGGTCAGTCAGGATGCAATTATAACAGTAATAACAACAACTATTAAATTAATGTTGAAAACAGAAAACAATGTATTTTGTAGAAAATTAAATTATACAATATATGTGTGTATGCATATAAGTATGTAAATGTGAGTGTCTGTGTGCAGCAGAGTATTTAATGAATAAATCGGACAGCTCTAGCCAAATAATCAAATCAAACAAATTTCAATTGCAGCCACTGCAAAAAGCAAAAATTATAATTCAAATTAATTATTTTAAATCTAACAACCAACTTGCTTATATTTTATTTCTATATAACCTGTTTGAGCATGCAAAAATAACTCTCATCACTAAAATCTAGCGAAAGCTGGATGAATTATTCTTGCCTGATTATTCTGATTATTCTGATGCTGATCAAGAATATTTATATGTTATATATTTATTTAAATATGTAATAAGACAAAATGTAAGATAAATATATAGACTTTTGTTGAGAAATAGAATTTCCAAAAATTGTTGACTCTAAGACTTGTTGACTCTTTATTTTGTATTCACTCGCTG